GGAACAACACAAACAAGTGTTTCGGAACAGAAAATGGCGTTTGCACACCAAGAGGTGCCAACTGGCACGAGCGGAAACGGCCTGCTGTACAGCATCGAACATAACAACATAACTATTATATCCGGTACACAAAGTCCCCCGATTACAAAAGCTGTGCAGATTTTTCCAATACGGCATACCTCCATGGTCTCCTGCATTGTCTCTAAATCCTGGAAATTGCCGAAGTCCAGCTCTAGGAAGGCAGCATCCCACATGGGGGGGGGGCACGCCAGAGGAGAGAGACACAGGCACGCCAAAGGGGGGCACGCAAAAAAAATTAAGCAGCGGCATGGTGGATGTACGCCATCGCCCTGAGATAGCATACCAACCGGGCAAAACGTGCTAGCAAGAACACAAGGCAAAAATGCACCGTAGCATACGGTGGCGTGATTCCTAGCAGCTGCAGCAGAAGCTACGAAATAATTCCGGCGGTTTGTCCCACTCGCCGTCATCACCAAAACCACCCTAAGATGTTCCGCAGCATTGAAGATCCTTCAACGTTTCGGAAGACTTGCCGTGGCAAAACAAAAAACTGTTTTTCCTAGTCTCACAATTAACTCAAACCGACTCTAACCTCGCAGCCTGGGATCTTCCTTCATCGCGAAGTGCTGTCTTTGCTCCAACCCTTCCTTGACTATCTTGTAGGTCATCCTCGTCCTCGTGTACGGAGAGACTATGAAGTACACGCTCTCGTCCCCTATCAGCTTTTGGAGCTCCCTGCCAGCAAGAGTCGCCTGTGCGCGTCACCCCGCCCGAGAAAATCACAACCAACAGCAAACACGCCAAAGTTTTGGTTGGTAAATTCGTGTTCCAAGGCGGGCAGGGGGATGGGCAGCGCGCTCGGCGGAAGAGGAAGGGCGATCGCCTGCCTCGCAAACTATTTCGACTGCTGTACATGTATGGAGTCTACATCGCGGTAGCCCTATGTCAGCTTCTTCGCCTCGCAGCCAGCGACAGGCGCCTGCCTTCGGAGCGTTTCCCGACATCAAACCACGACGACACTCTAACGGACTGTCCACAAAGAAAACACTTGTCACTCTCGCCGACTACGACAATAAATGCAATGCTTCTAATACCCTTCCGACAGGTGGAGGTTCTGCTGCATCATGTAAATTCTACCTCCATGCGTGACGTCAACGACTGCATGGCAATTGTGGCCTTCCGGGTTGGATGAACGAACGAGGGATTTTTTGATATCTCGGCCCACCTGACGTTTTCCCCGCTCTGTGATCTTGAGCGCGTGGTCTGGAGTTGAAGAGTACACGCACTTATCCACATTGCCCTCAGACTCCGCGTGTCTCATCAAGATAATGCGGAAGGGTCTGCGGCTGCGGATGTACATGCGCTGGCAGAGCGACAGGTGGTTCATCAAGCCCCCGATCCAGATGCGCACCCTGGAGCTTTGGAGTAGCGTTGCGCCGTCGATGGGGCTACGGGGAGGGGCAGGACCGGAGGGGGAGGGGGGAGGCACGGCAAGGCTATATGAACACCCCGCGGCAAGGAATAGTGTGTGCTGGCATCATGTACCGTAGGCAAGGAATAGTGGTTCTTGCGATGCTGGCATGCGGAACACGACAGAGAACAACCTTGTCAGCGCTTTCTCGAACATACGGGGACGCCCTCGACTAACAACGTTAGTTACTTGATGTGTGCGGCATGTGTGTGTCGTTATTAACCCTTTTGAGTCTTCAGACGTTCTCACTGATCATTGATTGATCATTTGCAAATGCTGGTGTAGTGGCAAGTCGTGGAGTTGCCGCCCTGCAGCCCTTCGCGCCGTGTATTGGCAAGTCCATAGGTAGGTGTGTCTAGATTATTAGGACCCGCGCTAACCGGCTGACCAATGAAGAGACTTCAGTGACAGCGGGTAATATCAAGGTCTCGGGAATGGGAATGGGGCCAATCAATGACAAATCATGAATCTCTCAACGTATGCACATGTATATGAACGCGTGTGTGCATACAGTACATACATACATACATATGTGTTCTTTCGCAGCACCACACATACACTCGCCCGAACGTAGGAAGCCACTGCTGCTGCAAAGAGCAGAGGGCAGCAAAAGGGAGGGGTATTGCAATCCCTGCCGAAGCCCAGATATCGAGGATATCGTGGTTCCCAACAATTTGAAAATCGTTCCCAAGATCCAGCGGTCATTGTGTCAGCAGCTACAACGAACGCTACAACAACACTACTACTGCTGTATGTAGACGAGTAAAACATATCAGCAACACATCCACACTCGTAGCACCACACATACCACCCTCGCCCGAACCTAGGAAACCACGAGGTACAGGTGGGTGCTGGTGGATGTGCATTTCGTTTGAAAAACACAGGAGCTCTAGAGAGCTGGCAGGGCACATTTCGGGGGGGGGACAGAGAACAGAGAAGTACAGAAGTACAAATACCAGCTATGGGTCTTCACTGATCATTTTGCCCTCTCTGGACTGATCATTTACAATATATATACCGAAAATAGACTAGTTGAGGCAGCTAGACGACTGATCATTTCAAAGTCTACACAGCTAACCTGCCCTACTGACCGCAGCGCGACCACCCATCAACCCTTCTACGACCCTGTCTGTGGCCACCACCCTGTCGCCGGCTTCTCTCATGGCCTACAGTTGGAGATAGCTGTTGCGTGTGCAGAAGTACACTGGTGTCTTTCTCTGCGCTTCTCTCTCTCCCGCTCGCTCTCGCTCTAATTTTCTTTTTGGCGCAAAAAAAAATATCTGACAGTCCAGCCTAGACCCAAAGGGGGTTAATAGCATTGACCCCACCAACCGGTTGTTGTGTGTGTGTGCCCGTCCCATATTAATCTGGCGCATATGTTCGACGTATCAGCCGACACAGGGCCTTTCATGTTACGTCTATTGATGCCCCACCTTTCCTCCTGCGGTGCTAGCCTCAGTTCTTATCGTGAGAAGGGTCAGCCGTCGCTTTCCCTCGTCGACCGTCAAAGTCGAAGTGTGCATACTCACGAAATTTACCGTTTTCCACTGCGACGAGTAGGTGAAGAGATCCTCCTCAGAGAGAATCGAGCCCACGATCTGCTACTGCAGAATGGTAGGTTTGCGAGGCCGATCACTAGACCACGGGGGCGGTCGGCTGACAGCAGGAGTCTACACCGCAAATCATAAAAAAATCCAAGGAAACCGGACAGCAGCGGTATTTTCTGCCACACTACTGCTGTAGGGAACCCCCTCCCCGAAGGCATGAGGTGCTCTTGGAGCTGCCACACGGATGATCTGATCTCCGCTGTGATGCATGCCTACCGTCGTGTGCATACCTTGCAAACACGTACGTGCGTGTTCCTCGCATTGGGTGCACAATCCTGCTGCTTGTAGTCTAGATTTATTCCAATCCGAATAGGATTGGTTTTTGCAGCGGAAACAAAAACACTAAAAGAAATCTTGACCGCGGTTGCCCTTGGCGGTTTTTTTTTTTCGGGCGGGGTGGCTTGGTCGGCGTGACGGTCGGCGTACCCGTGTTGCGGGGTTTTCAGGAGGCATTGGGCTTGTCGGCGCAGGTGGTCTGCGCAGCGCGCAGGATGGCGTTCCTGCTCCGATCGAAGCAATCGACAAATACTTCTTCGTTCTTCTGGTCGCCCGCGTTGTTCTTGACGAGGAAGAGGTCCGCGCCTGCCGTCTTTCAGTTTCAAAACAACTGCAAAACGGCAGAAGCTGACATCCTCCTCGTCAAGAAGCAACGCGGGCGACTCGACCAGCGCGGAAGCATGTGTTGGTTGATTCGATCGGAAGCGAAACGCCCTCCTGCGCGCTGCGCAGACCACCTGCGCCGACAAGCGCAAATGCGAAGAAAATCCGCAACACGGTCACGCCGACCGTCACACCAACCAAGCCTCCCCGCCCGAAAAAAAAACCGCCAAGGCCAACCAGCAGCAGGCGACCACGCCCTCGCCCCCGAAGAGGGCCCGCAACAACGGAAAGTAACGTCCTCGTTTTTCCCATGAAACGCCGGTATCTGTAGTTGGTTCTTGTTGCGGCGTGTTCCCGAGGCCATCTGATCTCCATTATTTTCTGCTTTCACTCTCTACAAGTATTGTCTACAACTGAGCATGTAAGCTGTCTCCAAGGTAAGTACGTATCGTGCGTGCCCTTTTTCCCGGTGGTTCGCTTGTGAACACGGAAGAAGGCGTCCGCGTTGTCAAGAGGACCGGGACGGGTATCAAGACCCGACGGTTATTAATAAATGATGACAAGACGACAACAACAACAACACTACCCGTCTTTATACATCCATCCGTCCGTGACGCGGTCGTTTGGTCCCAGCGTGACACACGAAATTCCAATCCGTTCAAAGCGGACCTCGGATTGGAGGCGGCCCTGGATGAGCAGGCAGTGTATACTGTAGCAGTCTACTGCTGTAGAGATGCCCTTTTTGCTGCTGTTGTTCAACTTCCCACACCATCAAAATGTGTCCTTCATCCATGTAGACGGAAAGGTTCCATCTGGGCACGCGTGGGTGGAACGGCTGCCTGTGGCGCGACGCCATCTTCGAAATCGCTGCCTTCGTCCGCACCAGCGTCTCTCGAAGTTGGTGCAGACTGGACGGACTGATGTACTTACAGCTACTTGCTGCACCCGCCGATCAGTAGTCTAGGAGCGGTAAGCAATAAATTTAGCTCCCGCACGATTAATCAGGTTACACCCAGTCTCGAACGCATACGTTACATGCAACAAGACCTGCGGCAGCACTCCTTTCTTCGAATTCATGCCGCAGGGTAGAGCGGAGGCCTACAGCGGAGGCAAGGCGTTCGTGTCTGTCTGTGTTGTGGCATCACATGACGGGCCCAACTTATACAAAACACATGTCAAATCCACAATGCCGGTATCGCCAGAGGGTGACGAGATGAAGTACAACCTGGCCAAGAGGAATGGCCCACCAGGGCAAGTCATTCCTGTGCCTCTCTCTTGGCGCGGGAGGCCGCATGTACGGACACACACAACGCCCAAGCCTTCCCCCGCCCATGGACCCGCTCTCTTGCTGAAGTGCTGATGTACATATGTAGAGAGAATGAGTCTCTGCCTGGTTACTGGGGATGCAAGGCAACCCGGTCTATCAACCACAGCCTCAGGATGCACATACCTTGTTATACATCTCCCCAACCAGACGACAGCAGCGGCCGGCAACGCAAGCGGCAGCCATGCCCTCGTCGCCTCCCACAGAGATTCCGTCATGGACGCGCGTTCGGTCGCGTATGCTGACAGCAGTGTATAACCTCTTGGTGAGCGGCTTCGTTGAAGCACATGCGATGATCTCAACACCGTTCCTGAGCACCACGCCACGCACGAAGGAGAGATACTATATCGCCTTGACTGCCGCGGTGCTGCGCGAGTTGGGAGCGTGGAGAGTGGAGGGGGAAGGGTTCAAGCAGGGGTCGCAGCGCATTACACACTCGCCGGAACAGCGGCGTAACCAGTTTGATGTTTTTTTTTTTTTTGGTCTTCACTTCAAATCAGCGCTCACAGCACTGTACTAGTGCCGTTTACTCCAACCCGTGGTCACACAGAAGAGCTCCTCTCTACCCTCCCCTCCTGCGGTACTTTACCTTCGATTTTTAATCCGATAAGAGTTCAGCACTCTCTTCCCTCTGTGTATACACGAACGAGCGCTATCCACTAGGCCAGAAGCGGAAGCGAGAGAAAAGAGAAAAACTCACTTTGCAAGAAAAGCTCGCTGGTTTGATGATTGATTGTGATTGGACGAGCGTTTCCAGGCGAACGGAATAATAAGTTTTGCCGACAGCCGACAGTTACAAGTGGATCGCTCCCGAGCTCCAGAGTGGGCCCATGAGAGAGCAGCGGTGTGCTCAAGGGGCGATGCAAGATGAAAATGAAACAAGCAGCAGGACCAGCACACAGCTGGCGCGCACAGTTAGCAGCCAGCTGGGACGTTTGCCAAGCTCGAACAGTTCACACAGCTGAATGAGAGACGTGTTTTGACTCGACGAGCGACGAGCCCACAGAGAACCCTCACGACGCGAAGCTCTCTACTGGTGTACATACAGCATCTATGTGTAGTAGATCGAGACATCCAGATGGATTCATCAGGATTGCCTTTCCTGCAATCTCGTGAGCCCTCAGCCGGGAGGAAATTAGTTTGTACGTGAAAATAAACCAATAAACAACGAACCCAGATGAGCGTAGGCATTTATTTACACATATATTTCAAACTCGAGATTTGAGATTCCTGTGGGTGACTTGGCGTATCTCCAGGATTCCTGGAGATCGAGTTTTAAATGTGTGTGTAAAAGTGCCGATGATCGATGTGGCGTGCGATCAGCTAGCTGTAGTTATAGTTGCATATCCCGGAGAGAACGTGTTCCCCGTCCACATGAATGAGTACTGCACCTCGGAGCAACAAACAAGGAGGAAATATATTCGGTGTGTGACGTGTGACGGACGTGACATGGAATCAGAGAAAGGAGGGAGGGATCAAACTCACGTACGTATCTAGGTATACACGAACGTCACCTTCACAGCTCTTCAGTAATACCTGTAGTCTAGTCGCTGCAGGACACAGCGAGCCGTGCGTGCGGGGAAGAAACAGTTAACGTAGGCAGAGGATTTTTCGTATCGCCACTATTTGTCCCAACCTCGATGTTTCTCTTTCTGCCAGATTCGCTCGTCCCCTTGGTTATTTTGCATATACAGATGCACAGCAGTAGTTTGTTGGCGATGAACTGCTTTTAAGGGTGAGGATATTTTTGGAGGTCTATGTACGGTATGTTATTGACTCGTTAGGCCTATAACCCGATGTTGAAGGCTAGGATCGCACCTTGGATGAGACACACTAACCCTGGCCCTAAGATTAAGTTTCACTATTAATAACAGACCGTCAACCCTACTGCCAGAGACAACGGGCCGACTTTTAATGTTAGAGACGACGACAACAACAACAACCTCTTTTGTACGTACGCGAGAATGGTGGTGTGGTACCGACCGTAGGTCAGGTACCTCCACCCGACGTTCCAGACGGCGTTTTCTGACGCCCGCTGTTGTTTCGCTAGCAGTCTAGTGAGCGTCACTCGAGGGTTAGCGTTAGTAGCGCACACAGATGTATGAGGCTGACAAACAGGACGTAACTCCACCTCGAGAATGATGTGTGTGTGTACATGGACGCCAAATGAAAATATATCGTTTGCTTGCGACCTTAAGCTCGCCGGTCGAAGAATCGGGCGAATCATGATACCTAATAAAATACTAATACTCAAACATCGTCGCTCGTATGAAAACATCGCACGCAGACAAGGACCTTCGAACATCAAGACACACTTGGTGCTGCTGAACCCCAGAGTCGAACTTCCAGCTGCTGCCCCCTCAATGCACTCACCCCATCCCTACTGTACCGGCCGCCTGACCGACACCGTTCATAGAGGGGGGGGGGTATACAACCCAGGAGAATGCCTGAAAAAAACTTGACCTTATAACTGCACAGGAGGCACGAAAACAAATGGCTCGCCATCCCCTAAACGTGAGTGGGTTGGTTCCCTACCCGCCGAAAGAGCGCGGCCGAATCCACGAATCGGAATCTACGCATGAATGGATCCCGCCGGACACCACGTCTGATCGTTTCCTCAAAAGGAACATCCTCAAACGCACAATACGAGACATGACACTACAGGATCAAATCACAAGGGGCGTGTGCTCTCCCATCTCTCTGTTCAAACTCTCATCCCATCCCTAAACGTCGAACCTACAAGACACGAACTAGTTCCGCGTTGACGGTTCAACAACAAACAGACGGGTCGTTCCCAAATTATTCATGTGATCTTAGAGATAGACAAACATATCGAGACGTCTTAAACTTCCTTGGACAGGGTGTCGACGTTGCCAAGGTCCTCACACGCCTTCTTGATGCGTTCACGCATGGTCTCCTCGGCCTGTGGCGTACAGCAGGCACAAAAACAAAGGGGAAATGGTCTCACCTCAGATCGTCGAATACAGCAGTACACGTCACCACCCAAAAACTTGGGAGTTCAGAATTTCATCCTGAAAACAAGTTTCAGAATTCATACCTACAAGTGGGTGACCTCGAAACCCTTAGTCGCAAAGTCGTGAGTTCGAATCCCCATGGGGTGAAAAGTTTACCGATTGGCGGGTGAAAACGAAAAACAGCTGAAAAAGCTCTCTCTCGTAAGTATGCATACCAAACTTCGACGCTAGCACCGTTGACGAAGGAAAGGGACGGCTGGACCCTTCTCCGCTAAAAAAAAAAATTCAGCACGCACCGCAGTAGAAAGGTGAGGCACGAAAATAAAAAAGACGAAAAAGTGCCGGTGTTTACCCCCTCCTGTGTGACCCTGGATGGTTGTTGTACGAAAAAATACACTGGCAAATGTACACGTCTCACCACGAACAATGGGGGGACTGTCGCCATGATAAATAAGACGAAAACACCATCAACAGGTGTTAGGTTATATTCGCTGCTGCGTTACCCGACAGAGAAAAAACAAGAAACGAGCCTTGGGGCAAAATATGAGGTTATGTGTCGCTGTGCTTCGAGTTCTTCGCCGACGCCATACAAAACAAGGCAAGCCTCAACTGCCAGCTACTTAACACATTATTTGACGTGACGGTTTCTAAATTCAACCGCGGGCAGGACGCCACAATACACCACGGAAGGAAAAAAAATCAACAAAAATCACTTTTGTAAGGCGAAGAATCTCTAGTAATAGGCTTGTGATCGTAGAGCACATCGGTTCCACCAGCACTATTATATAGCCACGTACCTTGCGGATCCACACGCGGGGGTCGTAGAACTTCTTGTTGGGCTTGTCCTCGCCGTCGGGGTTGCCGATCTGCGTCTGAAGGTAGCCCTCCTTCGCCTGCCGTCGGGAAAAACGGCATCCAAGTTCATCTCAATCACACAAAGACGGAGGTGATTGTGCTATGTAGCACGTACTTTACTGCCTTCGGATTAGGGAGCCGAACGCATGTAACCCTGCAGAGAATGAGATTAGATCCTTGTATACGAACGAGAATCTTCTGCATCATTTCCTCGACGTTCTCCATAGCAGTTGGAGGAAAGGTCGGTCTGTTAATTGCAACTTTGCCTTCTGGGTGGGACGATTTCCCCCTCTGTGTGTCGATCGTGATGCAAAATAAAACACTCTGGTTCACGGTATCCCCCCCGACCTCCTCCGAGGGACGAAATAAATTACGGTAATCTTCCGGCGGTGTAGGCGGTTTCTGCGGTCACGGCTTTGGGGGAGGCGGTAAACCTGCGGTATATACTGGTACCGATACTTTCACGGCTAAACAAATATCCAGGAAACCCTTGACAATATCAGCACAAGGGCGAGGTTCTTGTCGCCTGTTACGGATGGGTCTCAATAAAACGCCTCTATATCCGGCCGAAGACTTGAAAAAAATAAAATGGTCTCAACTCGAACCCAGCATCTAGAAACCAAGACACGAGGCAAAAAACTGAGACGTTTGATGTCTGTGAAAACGTACAAGCACTAAAAACAGTAACCCGATTAGTAGCAACAGGGTTGTTAACAAGAAGAGACGATCAAGAAGCGCATCGTATCGATGTGTCACCTTGTAAAAGTCTCTGATGCCCTCCCAGTATGTCCACTGCGTGTCGGTGTCGACGTTCATCTTTACCACACCGGCCTGTCAGCAGTGTAAAAACAGCAAGAAAAACATCAAAACATCGATATTGATGTCCCGGAATGCGTTGATGCCGTCAAGTCGAATTTTGTGTGCACACGGATGGATTGCATTTGAACGGGGACAAAGGGAGAAAAAAGAAAACAAATGAGTTGTTGTGACTGCCCCGTGTTTCGAACCGACGTCCCGAACCACAGCAGGCGGCATGGTGCAACGAACCAACTCATGGCACTGACGCATTTCTGCTGGCTTGCCGAATACTACGGTCGATACGCAACTAGAGAGACAGCACACCTTAACGGCGGTGGCGATGTCCTCCTCTGACGAGCCCGAGCCTCCGTGGAAGACAAAGATGCACGGTCGTTCGTCCGCGTCCGCTCCCAACTTCTCCTTCACGTACTCCTGTTTTGTCGTGCCCAAGTGAAGAAGACATGAAACCAGAAAATTGTCAAAAATGTGTCACAGAACGGGCCCGGAGATAAGAAACGTCAAAATCGGGCCGAGCCTCAATTCCTTGTTTTCGCCCGAAGGATCAGCCGAAGTCGGCAAAGTTCTTTAAACAGGTTTCTTATTCCTTTGGACTGCCGCATCCTGCTGCGCTTATCATTATTTTCTCATGATCGATCATGTTTCTTACGTTGTGGCCGAGATCGAGCTGAGTTTTCTAGCCCTTTTTTCTTATTTCTCGTAAACATTTGAGATTGTTCTTCTAGACAGAACTTTTCTTATTTGCGGGCCCGTTCTATAATAGTGTCAGCAAGCAATGACGGGAAAAGTCTTCTCGGTCTTGAGCTCCATGTCCATGTGCGCATGCAACAAGAACGGTCATGACAACTAACCTTGTGCGATACAACATATACACACTATCAGAGGGGCGTGTGTCGAATTCTTTGTGTGAGGAACGAGGGGCGTACATATTCCATCTCATACCGGATACTTCAGCTCCATTTATCTTGTCATTCCTTACACCAACGTTCCCGATACTTGCCTGGTGGGTGGCGAGGATGCCGGGGTTGAGCTTGACATTTCCGGGCTTGTACACACCGTGCACGTTACCGAAGGCCGCAGCGATGCTGAAGTTTGGGGTGACGGCCCCGAGGGCCTGCTGCACAGCCCAGATCTTTTTTTTTGTTTTCGCAAGCAGTGTGCGTGCACGCGAAACAACGACAAGCCGTTGCAACGCGGAGAAGAGAGACCGTGTTAGTCGTCAGCCCATCACCAGGCGGGACATATCTTGGGAGGTAGACAAGGTGAGGTAGCGGCACTTCACTAATATTATTGTTCATTTCCCCTTGACCCCGGTTCTATAATCTCGCCTCTGCAGCGACTAAAGTATCGGGCCGAGGGCAAGGCCTCACTGTCCGCTTCTCCCCCCCCCCCCAGCCCCCAGCGCTCCTTGCTCGGTGCATTGTCTCAGATATTATCGCTTCGAGTGCGAAGGGACAATACGCGGATTACTGCTGTGTACACATGAACAGCATACCGCGACAACCGGAGCAACACTCAGCCAGGCAACAGGTAACGTCCCACCGATCCGACACTTTGCCAACGCCACCGTTGCGACACAACATCGACCGAAACAATATCGTTACTGTGGTCCTCCAGAATTGCTTCTTTCAACCAGGCTGTTTGATACCACATGCGTAAAAAAAAAAGCTGACCTGTTCGGGCTGGGTGTAGAGCTTGTTCTGGTCCATGCCGGTGTTGTCTACACCGTCCTCCTCTCCGCCGGTGATGCCGATCTCCATCTCCAGCCAGATCTACCACGCAGAACAAACGCGACACGCCATCATGCACCACGGTAGGTGCGACGGAACAGCAGCCAAAGCGCAGAGAGGCGCTTAAGAACTACCAGGGGTGTTGAACAGAGACTCGAACAGCTTTTTCAACTATCGAATGGACCGTGTCAACAGCCAGGAGCAACTGACGTCTGCGGGAAAAACAGGGGCCCAGCAACAGGAATGGCTTTATCCGCCCTTTCGCACCTTCATCTTGTTCATGCGCTCGAGGTACGAGACGCAGGTGCTGATGTTCTCCTCGTCCACCTCCTCAGACAAGTCCAGCATGTGGGACGAAAACAAAGGCTCTCCGTTCTTCTCGAAGTACTCCTGTAGGCGGAGGGATGCAACGAGAGGGCTGTCGTTTTTTTTTTTTCACAACGGAACAAATCCATCTCTTCCACAAATAAGGAGTCCGTGGTAGACTAGCAATTAACATATTTTCTGAAACAAATCATATGCACAGCGACCCAATATTGCTGTACAACTTGAACGCACGTTGTGAGGTTGGAAAATGAAACCGACTGGGACCCGCGTGCGGTGGAATCTCAAATTGGAACACGCATCGGTTGGTTCTCAAGCGGGATGAAAAGTAAGATTTCTGGCCCCAGTTGAACACCTTTCTGTGGACGTATCAGGAGGGTCACACAGGAGGAGGAAGGTCACAGGACATGTACTATCCGGCTTGCCTTGCTTTAAAACGCGAGGGGATTCAGCCGTTCCTTTCCCCCGCCGCAAAGTCGATCACTTACGTACACACGGAACCATTGGTTTGTTGGGGAATAATTGTGAAAAAAAATCGCAGCTGGTATGACTGCTGTACCAAGATTCGAACCCGCGTCCAACGTCAGACTGGACTATCGGCCATATCATTGTATGACTTTCGCCGGATGCGCACGTACACACCGGTCGCCTCGGTGGTCTAGTGGTAACTTCGAAACGCCAGTGGCACAGTCGTGAGTTCGAATCCCCATGGGGTGAAAAATTTACGAAGTTGCGTGTGATAGCGAAAAAGCTGCAATTCTGGTGAGCATGCATTTGTACCAAACTGCGACCTTAGCACCGTTGACGAGGAATAGGGACCGCTGCACCCTTCTCGCGATAAAAAACAAACTTCAGCAAGCACCTCGGGCGGAAGGTGGGGCACGAAATCAAAATAAAAAGAAGAAAAAAGCCCCGGTGTTAACCCTCTCCTGTGTTACCCTGGATGGTTGTAGTTGTACGAAAAAATACACTGAAAAGTGAAGTACTCTACACACACTGAAATGTGTGTAGTAAACGGCTCACCACGAAAAATGGGGGGACCTGTCCCCATAATATACGTAAGTAGGACGAACACACACACAAATTGTTTTGTGTTTTCAACCGCACTGAGACTGACGTCTTTTCATTGGTCAGTGGGTTAGCGCGGTTGATGCTAATAGTAAAAAACGCACACACACACACACGTCAGCGATTGGCCTAGATCGGGGGACCGACCGACAAGCACACGATCATGCCTAACCAACCTCGTTTGCCGCGAGCATGCCGTCGAACCATGGGAGCAGCTTCTTGGCACAGTGGTCCGAGTGCAGCACGACCGGGATGCCGTAGAACTTGGCCATCTGCCGGACGTGAAGCGCCATGGCCACGGCCCCCGCGATGGAAGCCTGCTCCTTGGGCTCCTTGTTGTTGATGCTCTTCCCAGCGAAGAAAGCGGCACCGCCGTTCGACACCTGACGCGCAACACCAGTAGACGTATCGAACACACAAAGACAGCAGCAGCAGCAGCACCGTTCATTTGAGCCGATATTCTTCAACGAGAGTATTTCTAGTAGCAAGTGTCCCTCTCGCTCTACGAAGAGGTATTTGTGTAGATTTTACACCCTGGGAGCCCGTGCGTACACACGTTTCTTGAGAATTGCTTGGGGGTCAATACATATATTTGAGATGCGGCTATCCGCCCTAGTGCTTCAAGGAAAAACGTGACTCGACCACAAGCATCAATGGCTTTCGGCAGGGGCGGCCACACGTACAACACAGCAGTATCTGAAAAAAGGCAAGAGTACTTATCATGTCATCATCGACAGACAAACGAGGTCAAGTGTCAACCATGAGCACATCACGCGCTCAACGACCAGGGGGTAAAAAACCAATCACCCAAACAAGCAGAAATCAAGCACAAGATAAAATCAAGAAAACTAAAGGTACCTGAAGGATGATGGGCGAGTTGATGGCCGCGGCGGCCTCCATGGTGCAGTTAGCCGTCGACGACGACGTGACGTTCACGGCGGGGATGGCGAAACCGATCTTCTTCGCGGCGGTGAAAAGCTCCATCACCTGATGATTGACGATGCAGCAGCAGCACGCGGAGTTCACGTGCCAAATCGCGAACAGGCAAACAACGGCGAGGTTCACACAGAGACGACGAAAATAAGGTGTCACGTGTTGGTCTGTACCGCCGTGTGGCTTACGTTACGCCGTGCATCCCTTTCGGGGACATGGGCGGACACGTAATGGCGGGGAGACTTGTTAATAGTGTTTCACTACTGTGAGAGGCGGGAAAAAAATGGATGATAACCAGACTATTCACCAAGATCAACATCCCACATATTAACCCACCTTCTCTTGGACTGCTGCTGTTACAATCTATTATGGATGGAGATGAGTTTGTTGTAACAACAGAGTATTTCAAGAAATGCGAGTTCCCGGTGTCTCTGCTAACCACGCTCGCTCCTATTCGCCACGGGCCATGCCGTCGGGGTGGTGGTCAGTAAATATGTTCTTCCGCATCTTGGCGACCTGTCCTCGACCCTCCCTCGCCAAGGAGCGATTTATCGCAGACCGCACCTCGATATGACCCGTGGCGACATCGACGAGTTACCACGTCACAGAAAAAAAAAACTTGCAGGATCAAGCACGGCTATTTTCCTCAGCTACTGCTGTGCTTGTCGCTGTTGTGGCGACGTACGAAGGCTTTTTAACGTGTCGTCTGCTTATTACCATATGCACGAAAGAAGCTTGTCGCCCGTCGCGGAGACAAAAAAACAAAACACACCCAACATCACAAATGTTCAGTAAGTTGTTTTGTGTGAATTAGATGTTACTGGTTTACATTGGTTTGTGGGAGACGATAATATTATCGAGAGAGGGAAAACAGCAGCGTGCTTGTATGTACATAGTCCGCCAACATTTTGCATGACGTCGGCGGGGAGTGATTTCCACTACACCAGCGCAGAGATCCGATCGACTGCTGTCCTAAGGTTTTGTTGACAACAAGCTCTGTCCCACCACGGGCACTTGCAGGGTCCTAAGACACAAATCATGATCACAAGTAGCTCGACACGGGCGCGCTTACGGCGCCCTTGGAGTTCTCCCGCGATGCGAAGAATCATCGTTGGGAAATAACTCGATGCTGCCAGGTTCCGCTCTACAAAGGGAGAGGGTGATACCAGGGTACGTCAGCATACATCACGACCGGAGAAAATAAACACTCAGCTGTTCCACCTGAGGGTGCACTGCCACGGGTGATTTGTGTCGGCGATTAACACATTCATCCGTTGCACGGTTGTACCGCAGCAGCATGCTGTCGGGTGTCCTTGCTCGCTTATGTGTATTTCATGGATCAGCACAGCACGGATAGTAGGGCAATGAATTTTGTGCAGGGTCCACGATCCCTCCCGCCGCCGTCGGCAAAATGCATGTCGCGTGTACAGCAGTCGTCAGGTACCCACCCCCACGCACAAATACCGAGAGACAAAAACGCAGCATATGGCGCCGCCGCCTTCCGAGTACAAATGGAGGCTCGTAACGGTAGCAAGGGACCGACAGGTTAGGGGGCGACTTCCTTGTAACTGGAACAACGCCAGAGCTGTGAGTACATGTTCGTCATAACTCCCAGTGTAACGTGACACATTTCTACAGTAGTGGAAGGTTGGACATCCTTGTATCCAGGACAAGTGCTGATGATAACCCCCCCCCCCCCCCTTCCACCGAAGTTCCTCAAACTCGACACAAGGGAAGGCACGGCTTGCGGCCGTTGCAACAGCACCGCAGTGCGATGGACGCGCCGATAGGATCGTTACAAGCCCAGAAGCGGGCAAACATGACCACCACATCGGTACAGCAGTAGTAGTGTAAGAGGTAAAGAGTACAGAATAGTCCACGCATCGTGCACAGCTGTCAGCTGCCACAAGAACGTCCTGGGTAACAACAGCTTGTTGGGAAGAACGTACATGCAATTGCGTTTGGATGCCGCGTGGTACTTCCACATTGCTATCAGGGCTTGCGCAGCACAATTTGCGGCAATGCATATCCATAGGCCAGCAGCAGCGTCAACGAAGGGAGTTTCACCGCCAGAGTCATCGATGCGCCAACCGTATGACGCACAGCAGATGGCAAGCGATGTACCCTATGTAGTGATGACTGGTGCGCCAACACTCCAGCAACACACAAAAAGCGTGCGTAAATAGGGTCCCCAGCACGACCCCACCTATCGTAGCAGCGGAAGCCTTCGCTGGAAGCAAGTACAGGCAAAGGTCATCATCATCGGCAGCAGCGACGACGTAAGCACGAATTCGACCTATCCAGGAAGTCAGCTGCTGCCGTCGCACCGAAACTACCAAGCCAGAGAATATCTCGGGCATGTGCTACAGCAGTAGTGTGTTGGCATACCTTGTCGCCGGTGATGACGCCGGTGCCGATTTGCTCGATCAGGGTAGGCATGGTTAACTGCTCAAATTACGGACGGGGGAGGGAAGCAGGGGAGAAGCGAATTGTACGGTGCTTGTTGACGTCGTCGAACGGATTACCCGGTGGACGGATGAACGGCGCTCCGTCCAGTCTATGGACCAGCAGCGATCGATCACGCTCTCGCTTTCACCAAAGAGAGCTGCTCTACTCCAACCAAACACAGCGTTAAGTCTCAAACCGGAATTCCTCCACACTCATACCTGTCGTTTGCGGTGTGTCGTGGGAAATGTACTGCTGTGAAGGGTCGTGTAAAAGTGCAAATGTGGGTCGGTCTCGCGGTCTCGCTGAGCAGAGCTGACTCCAGTGGCGGCACTGCAGACAGCATTTTCTGCATAAAAATTGGGTACCACTAGAGTAAGGTAAAATACAATTCTGGGAGGGGGGGGGGGGTTACCGCCACCCAACGTACACAGTAGCATCCATCTCGTGGCAGCATCTCCCCAGCACATTCATGGGCAAGACAGCGAAAGGAAGGCCAGCTGGAACTGGTTCTCAAGACTTGAAGATGCACTCGCTTGGTGTTGGCAACAAGAAGACGAAAGAGCAAATTAGGTGTGATATCGAGTGTATGGTATAGATGCACCGCCTCTTCCGAGAAGACAAACCCAGCAGACAATGCTCCGCACCACCACCTCGAAATTGATTTACGTATGCGTATGCATAGGGAACCGTGGGGTCTCTAGAAAGCTCTCGATCGCGCAAGGCGACTGTTCATTCCACACACGTAGTTATTTTGAGCGTACTTTGGTGCGCTTGTGCATGTACACGGCATATAAGATGTAAACTCCAGAAGATGGTCCACAGCAGGTGGAGTCCACAGCATTGCACTGCTGTACTTGAAGTGCTGTTGCCAACCCGATGTACAACGCATCTCGTCAAAGAGCGGAGAGAACCCATTAGCATTTTCATGATGCACAGCCATTGCATTAGTTGAACACGGCGGAGCGGAGTTAAGAGTTAAACGAGTCTCAAAGTGTTGCACTTGTTGCATAATGCAGGGGATGCCCAACGTTCTTTCGTCCACGTCGAAAAAGACGCGCGATTTATCTGGATGTCGAGGTATCCGACATGTAACATGCAAATTTCAAATTTCATGTTGGTGAATTTTGTGGAGAATTCCCTGTCATCAGCCATGTTTGGTAGAGTCTTGTCTTGGTCTTGTCTCGGTACACCATGAACGTGCTCACGCGAGGTGACGCTACGAAAACTTGAACACAGACAGACCACGCCGAGGTGAGACGCGCTCCACGGAAGACTACACAGGGAGGGGACAACGGTGATCCATCCCCCCCACCCCACCCCACCTTTGTAAGGCTTGAACAGCAGTAGGAACACTACTGCTGTGTGTCACATGTTTCAACACGCAGTAGCACACATGGGCTCATTACCAGCTTCTGATCTACGTTTACAGGGGAGAACAACCAACCTGATGCTTTTTGAGTTCAGCATGCGAAGCGAACCGTGTGCATGCTTCATGGGTCTACTTTCTGCTGAGATACTTGCGCTAGTGGCGTTGGAGAACGCGGAAGAGGTATTGTAGCTAAACAGCGCATGATTTGCGCGACACATACATGTGCATGCTTCGGGACGGCAGGTTCGAGCAGGCCACAAAGGAGGCGGTCCAGACTCTGGCACGGCTTGGGATGCCGCCCGAGGAGCTCGCGGCGTCTATCCGGAGGTGTCTCAACAACATGGTGAGCACTGCGAAAACACAACGGTCAACCAACATTGAACCAGAGGTGTATTGCGCACAGTTTTATCCTTGAGTTGTTCTGTGCTTCGCCACTTTCGAAGAGGAACAGATCTGCTATCCGAGGGCTGCCTCCCGGTGTTTCTGGACTGTCGTGCTCCGATAGTCGGCTGCGCAGAAGAATTGAGCACGAGAGCCCTGAACTATGCGCTGAGTGTTTGCGGTATGAGCCTGGAATTTTTTGCTATCTATCTTGTTCAGATCCGGCTTCAAGTGCTTTGCGATGGACAACTAAGGATGCCGCCTCTGCTACTTCTCCGATACCATTTTGCAGCAATCAAGAGCAAAAGAATTTTGATGCCCAAGTGGCAGTCTGGGTAACGAATTGGCCTTCTACCCAGTGCTACGTTCTATCGAGGACGCGTGGCCAATGGTCTAACCGCCTAGGCATGCAAAACATACAAGGACGCCCCCCCCCCCGCTGCGCGCTCCTCTTATATTCCGCCGGTGCGCATGTGCATTGAACGTTGTATATATGGATGAAAAACAGCACGGTCAGGAGTGGCATTGCGTGGCAGGCAAGGTCAAGGCGTTCAGCGTCCACGTCCGATATGTGAGTGTGGCAAGCTGAGAGCACGGCACATGAGCAGAGCAACAAACAGCAGTGCGTACATATCATCCTCTTCGTATCATCAGGAGATTGATTTAAACATGCATACGGATGACGAACAACGCTGAAGGAAGAGCGTTCACGAAGAGTGAGTGTCGTTTGCGAGCCTCGTGCACACCAGCCCAGAGACACCACCAACCCAGGTTGGGCCCGTGTGTTGCAGGCTGAGCTCATGTCCTTCTTGAGGGGGAGCTAGAGCAAGACAGGGTCGGATGCGGATGTGAACCGTGGCAAGTCATAGCATTTAAGGGTCAAGAACCATGCGCACTCGCCCGAGGACTCAGCAACCAACAGGGTCGGAAGACATCGAAAGGGTTGCGTTTCGCAACCTTGGTGCACGTGGCGGGTTCAAGGGCGAGTGGTTTTGTGCGAAGTTTGGAATTTCGTCCTGTTGTCGCAGCGAAGCGGGTTACGTGGACGGGCAAGAGGGCGGCGGATAACATCTCCGTAGATGCCTACTCCACCAACAGCTCGAATTTCGCGGGGTGTCTCTCTTTCGTGCGGTGACAATCAGCCGGGTGTCTATGTGCTTGCGTCGCGGTGTTGCAGAATATCTGTATGGTTGGGTGTGATGCTGCAGATGGCGCATGGGGGCCCCGGGTAGCATACGATGCACGTCGTCTGATCGTGGTGCGCCCTTAAGGGTGCCTTCTCCTACCAACGCAGTAAGCGTTAAAACTAGACCTTGATGGAATGATGAGGAAGCCGGCAGGAAGACGGAGGGAATAAGCAAGAGCCTATGTCGCGCATGTTGTCTTTCGATAAGTGAATATTGTCTTTCATGCCACCTAGTGGAACACCCCCTTGCTGTGTTGAGTACTGTGCAAACAGTCCGTCACACAATGGACGGGGCCCTGAAACGTTTGAAATGGTTCTGTAAGAATGGTACGAAGAACCGTTCCAGGAACGATGTTGGAACGTTTCTGTAGTCTCTCAGCTCAGACGGTGGTCCCAACGGTCTCAGACTATTGCAAGTACAAGGACTGCCTCCCCTTTCCCATGCCATGCTTTACAGTGGCGCGGGAAGTCCTTCCTGTTTGAGGCAGAGGGCCTGCGAATCATTGTCTTCCAGTCTGCCCCGCCAGCACCGGATGACCCGCTATCAAGCCCGCAAGCCCATGAGCAAGACGCAGAAGCGAAGCAGGGACCGACAGCCAAAGGGCCGGAGCGAACAAGGTAACCAACCCATTCTTCGTTGCCTGCTCTACTTCAATACATCTCTTTCTGTGTTGTACAGCCTCTACCAGACGGGGGCATCGAGCCGATACCATACGTAGCACATTTCATCATTCCCCGGAGCCCCCTTTGCCTTACCTCTGCGGAATCTTGCTCCTACCTTCGCCGTGAGAATGATTCCGCGGTGCTCTTTCCCTCGTCAATAGTAGAAAGGCTGGTTGACCAAGGTCGGGTATTGTGTGCGAATGCTCATGTTGCCGGCAATACCTGACCACAGATGGGGAGGCATGTTGAGAGGGTCAAGGGATTGAGGCAGTCGTCGACCCCGAAAAGTTGTGCCGTCATTGCCGGATATTTTCTTCCGCCCCTGCCCGTGGCTCTGTCGTGTCCCTAATGTATTATCTTTTTGAGCGGGCTGCAGTGGTCGTTGAACGCCCTAGTGTCTTGCTCCTCGCTCCTCTAGTGCATGCCACGGACACGCACCCAAGATTTGTCTACTTTCGAGGATCAGTGCAGGCCGTTGTTGAGGTTTGCTAAACGAGTACGAATGCGTGAAGCCAACAGCCAAACATACAGATTGCCACGCCCTGGCGTTAGCCGTGTTGAACGAGCGTCCCCCTGGCATGTGCCTTTCTTCTCTCCAGCATCAAGGTACTGAGGTCGGAAATGGAGCAAGGGTATCAGAAGCGTGTTCTAGCCATGGCCTCGGCGTCGGCGAGGGAACACGGGAAGACTGGCGATTTGAACAGCATCGTGGCCGCCCTCAAGGTACGGCATGCCTGCCCCCCTTTGAGCCTCGTTGCTGGGCGGGACGGTATATGTTGTGCGCCAAATGGTAGGGGTGATGATACCCGGGGACAACAAACGCGATTGTACGTGTTGAAGAGCATTAGCGCAGGTGTTCGCCCGGGTGTGTTCTCTATTCCTCTACCTGGCTGTCTGCCTGTACATAGTTGTACACCTCTGTCTCTCTCAACTCTTGATTAGTGTCTGCCTGCCTGTGGGCTTTCGATCTCGCCGTCATTCTAAGTGTCTGTCTGTCGCTCTTTGTGCCCCTGTCTGTAGCCCCTGTCTCCCTGTCTTGCCAGTCCACCTAATCCATCTTGCTTAGTGCCCTCCCTCACGTTCTGCCCCTCCCTCGCTTCATGGCACACGATTGGGCTCACCCTTCCCATCTCGACAGTCATCACTCGACCACCGTACATAGGTGACGCAAGATATCACACCCCTTAGACTGATTTTCAAAGCTCGACTACTACACAACAGAAATGATGGTGGTGCCGAAAATGGTGGGGTTGGAACCGCCCCGTGGAGAGCTTGACGAAAGCGTCTCGTTTGATTTGAGCATCCTCTTCATCGTGGAGTAATCAAGCTTTGGAAATCGGTCCAGGGGGTGTGATATCTTCTGTCACCTAAGGTATATCAGTACACAGAATCAGAGAAATGTGGGCACGCCTGAAACACACGTACGGCAGTGAGGCAGTGAACGCACACACAACTAACTCTGCTTCCACCCACTTGTGTGATGCAGGCTTCCCTAACGGAGTTCACAGGGCCTGTATGGCATGTTATGGCCACCCGGGGGGCAGGTGATTGGGGCTTCTCTGTTGCGCACGAAGAAGGACAGCTGCTAGATTTCAAGGTCGGTGAAATGACACTTTTGGGGGTTGTCGTTGTACACTGGCATACTTTGACGCCAGATTGTCCCAAAAGAACTTTTTACAGGAGACGTAGTCTAGCACATTGGTTCGGGGGGCACGTTGATGTTCTTTCTGGTCTAGAACCGTTTCGAAAGTAACGCGTGCGTGTAGGAGAGGGAGACACCTATTCCATCGTCGCGTTGAACACCCCTAGTTCTGTATGCTACCGAGATTTGTCCGTGCGCATGGTGGGAGACAGAATAGGCGCCGAAATTTATGTTCGACGTATTGGACGCCCAGTTGGAGAGGTTAAGGTACAGCAATCCAGCTTCGCGGATGGAAGATGAAACAGCCGCAGGTGTAGCATGTCATTTTGTGATATTCGTTGCAGGGAATCGCATTCTCTCGAAGCTTGTCGGCCCTGGGGAGGTGGATCTGCAGAAGTAGCTGCGTACCGGTAGTGTACACGACTTTCTTCTTCCCGTGTAATGTGTTAGTCGAATCTATTGTTTTATTAATTTGGGAGAGAAACAACATTTGACAAGGACCGCTTACACCAAAGCCGCGGACCCAAGCGGGGGCACCGCAGGTGTTTTTGTGCCCTTGCGTCAGCAGCGAGGACGCAAATTATTTCGTTACATTTGTTCTGTATTGCATCCTCTTTTTCTCTGGTTGCGCCACTTTTTTTACTCTGTTCTCGTCGCCTGTCTCCCTCGTGTGTGTTTTGTGTTGTCGTGCTCTCTCTCTCTCTCTCTCTCGCTCTCTCTCTCTCTCTCTCTCTCTCTCTCTCTCTCTTTCTTTTTCTGTCTCTCTGTCGTTTGTGTGGGCGCCTTTGTCGCTCTTGCTCCTCGCCGCGCTCGCAGCTGAACGGGGACCGAATTCTCTGCTGGAAGCACGCGCAGGCTGCTCCGGGGCTGACTGACATGCTCACCATGAAGCGGTGAGACAGAGAGAGAGAGAGAGAGTGGTCCATGCGGCGAGACAGCGCACGCATCCCAAAGAAAGAAGAGGGGCTGCGTCGTATGTTGACACTTCTTTCAAAGTTTTGTCAAGAAGATGAGTGAACTAAGAGGCACGGTTGGTTCAACCCATCCAAAATTATCCTCTTCGAGTGGCCTGCCGAAGTACGTGTCTTTGTTCCCTCGTGAAGTGCTGAAACAGTTTGACCTCATCTACTGATGTTCAGACCTGTGTTTCGAAATTGTCGCATCATGGGAGACACATGAGATGGGGGTGTCTCCGAGCACGCGCAAGAATCGCCGCTGGAGTTGAAGAAGAAACAAGGGCCATTTCGCTCTGCGTAGACAACATATTACATAGCGAAATTCTTTCGTTTTTCAGAGTTTTCCAGGCGGTCAGTCGAGAGGATTATTCCGCCGCACGACATGTACGTCACGTCGAGAATCCTGGTTGCTGTTCGTTGCACTTGGAACAGTCTTGACGTTAACGGGCGCCAGTCGGTCACGGCAGACGATTGCCTCTTGGTTGCTCACTCCCCCAAACAGCACGGTGCCAAGCGTGGGTCTGAACCACCGTTTGTGCATGGGCTCGCTCTTGGTGGTTACGCATCCAGGATATCTACCTTCCTGTTCGTGGCAACGATGCTGCTCCTGTGCGTCTACGTGAAGCTGCAAGGGTCGTGCGACCGGTGTTGCAGGTGTGCTCTCCCGGGATACCGTTGGTTTATTGCGTCGTCTTTGTTGTTGAGTGGTGGGTCGGAAGCGCCTGTCGTGAAAACAACGGCTGCGCGGGAAGGTAACGTTGTCGTTTCGTGTGCTTGTCCCCCCTACTCGTCTGTTTGTCGCCCCTGAACACAGCAGTTCTTTTTTGTTCTCGTGTGTAGATCTACGGTGTGATGGTGGTAAGGCCACATGTCGATGCTACCCTCGAACCAGCGGCACCCTAATTCATGATTTGGTACTATTCGTTACGCCCTTTCCCCTCACCCCCCGCCGCCCCTTGCGAGCCTACCGGAGTCGTTGCGAGCCAAAACTCTGCGCCCAACACTGCTGCCTCTCAGTCTCACAAAAAAGAAAAAAATCTGGACCATCTTCGCGTTTGCTGCCATTCATGCCTGCGGACGTTAGACTGTTTTGTCTCGTCACGACGATGTTGGCGGTCACGTTAGAGCTTTCGAGGGCCCGTCACCCTGCACCCCTATTATGTGCACCCGCCGGCATGAACAGCAGAACGACACCATGGCATCTCACGAAATCCTGCGTTGTCGTTGCGTGTTGACTGTAGGGAGAAACAGCTGATCTTTTGGTTTGTGCTTGAAGTTGTAGAAGCCGAAATCAAACTATTTGACTAGTCAGCGCTGACTATTTAGTTCTAACGGATTGATTTTCACCAATAGGCCGATGTGCCCGCGTTCAGATCCTGTTCTTTTTTCTGCTAACCGAAACGCCTTCTTCCTTCCCCACGCTTGAACACCGGACCGGGATCCTTCCCTGAACCCTGCCCCCCGTGCCCCTCTTTCTTTCCAGTTCTTACCCAGGAGCGCGCGAGAAGGCCGGGTGCGCAATCGCGCCAACCACTTCCGGTGGGGGGGCAGGAGCCGGCGACATAGTGGTGGAAGGGTGCGACGTTGATGTGACTGAGGTTGCAGATCTCTGCCTGCGCAACGCCAAGGTAAGAACGAGTCGTGCCGACAGCGCAAGATGGGGCGGTAGTTTTGAGAGAAGCAGGACAAGGTGCATGTGGCAGCCAAGCCTCGATTTACCGCTGTTGTGAGGGACTATTCGTGGCTTCTCTGTTTTTATTGGTACACTGCGCAAGTCCAACCAAACTACAAAAGTCGGTATTTGTGCCTGTAATAATATTTTCGGGTGCTCGTGAGGAATTTCGTCTTGACCACCGTCCTTGTGCTTCTCGTTCGTGCTTTCGGCGGTGTCGTCGTCGCTCTTGTTGCTTCCACCTTCCAGATCGCGTTGTTCGTGACGTGCGGAACTATGGCCGGTGCCACGGCTTTCAAGTGGGCTGACCGAAGCAAGGCCAAGCGCCAATTCAAGCACCAGGGTGCTTGACTCACGTCCAAAACACGCACGTTCTTTGTAGCGGAGCGAGCGCATATAGAGATTCTTGCAATGGCAAGGTGCGCAGGTTGATGTCCCCGCCCCCAAGTTGTTCTTCCGTAACTGACGCGGTACGCCATTAGAGGTTGTTCTGCCGTGTGGTTGTTGCCATCTCCTTGGCGGTGGTTGGTGTTAGATCGGTGTTTTCTGTCATAATTTTGAGTGTCAAGTCAAGAAGCATCTACAGCAGTGGGGCTGTGGGCACTTGTGTCCGTGCTAAAGAGTTGTAAAGAGTTGTTCTGTCCCCTCTCGCGCCACTGCACGACTCGCTCGGTTGGCACGGCCTCTCTCGGGGTGCTGCAGAAAGATCTCTGCGCTAGTTGCAATTCTCAAAGCGGGTGGGAAAGATCTGCATGTCGCCGCGTCGCCCGAACCCTCTCCCCGAAATCTGCTGGGAAACATGCTGCGGGGGGCGGGGGGCGGGGGGCGGGGGGGGGGGCGGAGGCGTATCCTCGCTGCGCTCGTCGTTTTTTTACCGTTGACCAAGAATCCCTTTGAAGACGAGGCATCGTTCTGTTTCCGAAAAATGACGGCACAGCAGTGTTGGGCGCTCTTGGCGCTCTTGCCATGCTTCAGCGGAGTTCTACCCTCGCATGTGTTTCTGGCGAGCCGTTTTTTTGGTTCCCCGTTTGGTATCTAGCTTCTGCTGCGATTTTGGTCACACATTTTTCTCGCAGCGTTAGATTTTTAGCATCAATGCGAACAACCAAGCAAGCCTGAAAGTGACGCCCCTTGCATGTGGGAGAGGGTGGCACCTCGAGAATTAGGGTTCCTGCACTTGGCCCCGCAAGGGTAGCCTCGTAGCCTCTTATCGCTGACATCCCCTCCACGAATTGCCGCATGACGAGAGCGCAACGCAAACTCCAAAGACTGCAAGCTACAACAAAGTACAGTCATGTGCACAGCCCATCAGCGCAGATAGATACTTTTTTTGTCGTCGTGAAACTCAGCTATAACATTTAGTCTAACGTAGCCGCCACTATCCATTATCAACGACGTTATTCGTCCGCACCCAAGGTCTGCAACTTGTGCAACAAGAACAAGGCATAAACGGGCGGCCGTCGCGTTTCTCGATCTCGTGCTTTCTACTGAATGAAGTAGACCATAGAATCAATCACTTAGAAATCAATCATCTTCGCCGAGAAGCTATGCGGTAAGATTTGGGCGACACATTCGTGACCACGTTTGTTGTTGTGCTGTTGATGTCATCGCTGTTGTCTTCACATTTATTTCCGGCCTCCGCTGCTCAGTACCTTCAAACATTCGTTTTGGTCCAACGGACTCGGATGCCTTGCGTGATCATGGGACTGCCTACGCAAAAGAAGGTAAATGTTGAAAACGAAACCGTCGACTGGTACACTTGGTACACCGCGGTGTCTCCACCTTCCTTCACAGCACACACACACCACGCTGTATCGGGCTACACCGGAACACAGCTAGTTACAACAATTCCCCGCGAATCCCCGGAACAGATCAAGCAGTTCAATTCCCCCACACACGACTGAGTAACATAGTGAAAAGCCAGTCAGTAACGCATACGACCGTTTCTTCTGAACCGTAACAACCGGTGTACGGTGTAGGTTCCCGATACCATTCACTGTCCCCCTCCTTCCCATTGGGGGGTGCCCCGGCAGGGTGTGTCGGTCGGTCGGTCGAGAGCAACAAGCAAACGCACATTGCATTGATTGCCGCCACCCGCCACCTCTCGCGAGGCGCATACACTATTTTCAAGAACAAACCAAGGCACAGCGCAGGAATCCCACCTGCTAGACAGGTAAGCTCTCCGCTCCGAGGTGAGGTAGCGTCAAATCTTTTGGCGCTGTGTAGGTGATATCATCAAGTATGATCGAGAGGCACATTTATTTCGTTTGCAGCGGGGTGTTACAAGGGAGTCTCCTTTCTCTTGTACGCGCTCTCTCGACCGATCGTATCGCCCCTGGGACACAAGCGTGCGGTGAAATTTAGCAGCTAGCCTCTGCGTTCCTTCTAGGGTCAACTCTTCTCCTATTGGAGGACAGCAAAGTAGTAGATCATTGGCAAGCCGTGTGGGCAACACGCACATGAACTACGACGGCGTGTCAGGCTCAACGTTGATCGAGATCCCACTGAAAAATGCACCCAAACTCTTGATGTCTGTGGACTCTTCGACCCCCATGTCGCCCTCCACAGAGTTTGTCTTGGAGTTGTTGCCTTGAAGCTCCTGTTGTAGGGCGTTGCTTGTCAAGGGCGACACGTGTTCGGTGGGAGATACACTGATAATCGGGTTCTTTCATCATGTGTGTGTGTGTGTGCGATATATTTGTGCTGTTTGTGCAGCAGGAGCGTGGTGACGAGGTTTGATAATATTACTCCGCTCCTCGGAGCACCACACATACAAGCTACAGCAGTGTGCACCTGCATAGATGGATGCACAGGAACCGCCACAGCCCTACTTACTGCTGTGGCACAGCACCGGGGCGTGTTCCACACGCCACATATAGGTATGTATTGTACATTACTCAAACAAAATGTGCGCGTAGACTGCTATGATACTGCTGTACTTCACAAGACGGTCGAGATCGACTGCTGCCGGCCAGTTCCTCAGTCTTCACCATCATCACAAGGAAAATATGCCTGCGGCCCGCCATTTTCCGCATCGGCTGGCCGCCCCCAGACTCTGTTCGTTTAACCACCCGGACACAGGTTTTAACCTGTTCAGTTGGTTCGGTCCTTTCGATACGAAGTAGTAAAGGATCTTATGTGTGGAAGATGAGGTATTTTTCCCTTCGTCCCATCCCCGCTCCTGTGTTACCCTGCCGGCTGGGTGACACGTGCCTACGTTAAACCATGTACCAACCACCGAACATGGTTTAAAGGTGAAGCAGCTACGTATGTCCGCTTGTAACCGTCATGAATTCATTGCTGTAGCAGTAGATAACTTCCCCGGACTTCATTTCCTGTGCATCATATACTGCTGAAGAGAGATGAACATTCACCACTGCAGTCTTTGTACCAAGAAAAGAGAAAGAACGACCACCACGCAAACATGTCCCTCCACCCACCTAGCACGTTCTACCTACGAGGTAGGGTAGTTAAGTGCTTACAGCAGCAGACAGACAGCAATCACCTCTGTGTTATGTGTTACCAGGTATGTGTTACGTGTACTCGCAACGCGCTTTTCACTTTCAATTTCTTCGGCGGGGACACTTTTCTAAATACACGCCGAAAGAGAGAGGCGGAGAGATTGCACCCCCCCTAGACCGATAGCTGTCAAAGCTCGATTGCTCCACAACCAAGTGGGCGCGGAAAGAGCCCGATACGTGCACGGAAACACTGCCACGTGTTGTTTCCAAGACCACCATTTTCGGTGTTGGAATAAGCCTGGTTGCGCAGCAAGCGAGCTTTGAAACTCGGTCTAGGGCAGGTGCCATCTCCCCGCGCTTTTCACGGATTATCTTCGGTCGTGCCTGTTTTTGAAATTCCGCGGTATAGGTTTGTTCACCGAAGCAGGTAACTGCGTGCCACAAAACCTGCTCCCAAATGGCATAAATTTCGGAGCGGCTCCCGGAACAACGGGGGGGTGTTATGGTGGTTGGGCAGCCGTGTGATGGTATGCTATTTCCCGTGGCCACTGGTAATTCGGCGGTTTCAGACGGCATGGCGTAGTGATGGAGATGCAGGAGTTGTACCGCATATATATTTTGTCCTTGTGGACTGTGCGGAGTTTATTCTGCATGGCGGAAGAGAAAGCCAAGGTGAACGCAGCAACAATCTCCATCTGTGGTAATACTTGTTCCACACAGCCCCGGCAGAGGAGATGGTACCATACTAAGAGAAAGCACGGATATCGATCTCAGTGCATTACACTACCGTCGTAGGGTGAGCCAAGCTGCTTCATTCTCGCGACTCTTGTCGCTTTCTGGGCCCACGCCACGCATGTCGGCTCTCGGAGGTAACAGCGACACGATTCTGCTGCAGACGGTGCCATTGTATCGATATCGTCCTTTCTCTTCTCTCTCTTCCCCGGAGCTGTGTAGAATTTGTTCGACGAACAGATGCCGGTTTATTGTTGCTTCGAACCAAGTTCGCTAGAGCACGCTATTTAGAGCTCGCTAGAGCTAGTGCTGGTGAGCTACCGGGTTGCTGCTGATGTCGACAGGTGGCACGGTGGTCACGACGCCGGTGCCCCGCCAAAAACCTGCACTTCCGTCCTTGCTACTTGTACTGCTGCCTCCGCCTGGCGCTGAAGACGTACGCTAGCGGGTGGCCGGTTGCTCCAGCTGACTTTTGCCGCAGCGGTGCGCGCTCTGCCGTTCAAGGCACTCTTTCTTTCGAGGTCCCTGGCCGCTGTATTGCGCGGTAGTGGCGGCAGGATCTCTTCCCGCTCCAAGTGGCGGGCGTTTCCTTTCGCCTCGTGGCCCACGTTGGCCTCGAGAACTTCACGTTGAGATGATGCGGGCACCGAATCGCGAAGGCGTCATCCCTCAGGACATGTGGGAAAAGACCCCGGCCGACAGGCCTCTTCTCCCACGTGTATTGGATGACGCGGGCCTCCGAAATTCGGTGCCATCGATAGCACACGCGCAGTTTTTGCGGCCAACGTGGCCCTTGCGGCGGAACGATTCTCCCGCCGCTTGGAGCGGGAACGGATCCAGCCGCCACTACCATACAGCAGTTCAGCGGCGAGGGATGTCGAAGAAATTGCGCATTGCTCGGCAGAGAGCGCACAGTTGCGACAAGAGTCAGCTGGAGCAAGCGCCCACTTGCGTCTCAGCGTCAGGTGGGCAGCAGCAGCAGCGAGGACGAGGATGCAGCTTTTGACGGAACATCGGCGTCGTGACCGCTGTGCCACCTGCTTTCATGGGCAGCAGCCCCGTACTTCACCAGCACCGGCGCTACTGCTGTAGCGAGCTTAGTTTGATGAAGACACCCACATCGCTCGCCGGTCCCTCGGGACACGGTTGGCAGCAGCACCTCGGCAGCAGCGGTCAGATCTCACTACGCGGGGGGGTCAGTTGAAGCCCATGTTGATGCTACTGTCGATGTGCCCCAATGCCTTATGAGATGTTTTTGTGTTTGGTGATGAACCAGCACGCAAGGGGAAGGGGATCACAAGCGCAAACTCCTAAGGCGTACGTCGACAGCTGCCAAGGGCACCACGATGACATGACCGAGGTGATACCGTGGGGAGTTCCCTTTTATTTTTTCGTGACGGGGGACGTTTATTCGGAGTTCACCGCTGGTAAGTAGTGGAGAACGCCCGTGGTTCGCGAGAATAAAACAAAGCTTCCTATACAGACATTTTTGTGCTTAGCACCAGCTGGTATCACCGATGTAAATCATCAGTGTATAGGCTTAAAACAGACTCGAAAGAGTCCCAGTCCCCGGCCGGTTTCCCTCCACTCACTGTAACTATAGACTCCAACACATCCCCTTCGACTGCTGTGGTTATATCTCGAACGGGTAGTCTCTCTCTGTTTGTATTTATTATATTCCTATTAAAGCAACGGCGGCTGAAGTCTTCTCGCGTCAATATTAAGGGAGGCGTGCACTTTTTTCTGTGTTCCCTCGGATGGGAGCGCTTTTCGGTCAGAGAGTTGGTTAAGGTCGTAGGATACCTAGTTGGAAATGCCAGCGACGGAGAACAAGTGGGACGACGAAAGCAAACGAATAGTGTTGTGTCTCGTGTAGGAGTGATGACAATTCACACACATCGCCTATTACACAGGCACGATGCTTCCCATCGCGCAGCGGTTACCTTCCAGCTTACTCTACCAGTGTACGCAAACAAACATGAAAATGTTGCACGGCGTTGTCGCATTCTACCTGATTAAGCAAGACTGCCTGTATTCTAGGCAACAAAAGGTGAAGCTGCCGTAGGCACTCTGCATACGAGAGACAGGGAGAGAAACAGTCGTTTGTCGTTGTCACCCATCGTTGCTGTTATCGTCGCCATCTTGACAACTCTACTTCCTGTAAATTTATCTGCCCTCCTAGGCAAAGAAGCAGCACTTCTTCGCGCGGGAGGGAGGTCTACCTAGTGCCGTGCTTCCTCGTTATTTTCTGTATTTGCTCTGGAGACCTGAACCTGTCATCTAGTCTACTCCATGGCAACCCCATGCTGGGCAGCCTGCAGAGTAGAACGCATTCTTGTCTTTTTTTTTGTTGGCGTGCTGTTGAAAAATGTCCCATTTTCGTTGGTCAACCGGTACGAGGGGTCAATGTCTAGTGAACATCGATGTTAAGTGAGAGAAAACAGACGCGTTATGCGACGGCCATATGAAAACACCTAATCCCAGTCTTTACCCTCTTGCGCGCCGCCGCTCGTGTCCGTGTTCTTGGTGTTGATCGATCCCACTGCAGGTATTTTTTTTTTGGTTCAAGGCTCCGTCGTTCAGGAAGAGGTCCACATTTTTTTTTTTTTCCCGGGTTCGTCGTTTTTTTCCGCCAGCAGCCAATCAATCGGTTCAGTAACCGATCCAGACTGATTTGTGACCGGCCTGCTCTGCGGCCCACCATGGCTGCCGCTGACGCGAGTGCTAACATCCTGAGTACGAGCGCGGACATCGTCCGCTACCTGTCGGAGTTTGTGGGTGGCGACTCGTACTTCTTCTTCGCTCCTGTTTGTAAGGGTGAGGGAACGATTACGATTGGTCTATTAGTATTATTTAGCAGCTTGTCTTTTGCTGGTGGAGTCTTGTCTCCGAATGTGCTCCTTTTTTTTTGTCGTACCTGTTGCATGCATGGGTTTCCAGATGCGTCAGTTGGGCGAGTGATCGCGCACCTGCCATTAGGCCAGGTTTCAGTGCTTGATTTCTTGGCGACCAATCGGACATGCCGGTGCAGAAAGGGGCTGCGTTGGAAATATCTCATGGACAACGCTCGTTGCTCGCTTCGGTCGCTCTTTCTTACCCTCGTTGATTGTAGAGCAATCGAGCCCCGAAAGCCAATCGGGCTCCAAAAGCCAATCTAAGCGGTGCGGTCGCTCTTACTCGCAATGTAGATGCAGCATACGACATGTGGCCATTTGATGGACCTAAAGCGTCAGGTCGTGCCGAGGTGTACGAAGGAACGGGGATTCAAGGACCTTTCTTCAGCCGACGGCGTTGTGTTGTTGCTCCCTGTTTACTAATCCTTTCGGGTATGATCGTCTTGTGGTGGGTTTTGGGCTTGCTACGCATGATGGGAGCTAGCTCTGTTCTTGTTGTTGTGCTTAGAAAACAACGGTTGAGATCATGCTTCGTTTACCAAAGTGACGGTAGGCCTTCTCCTGAATTAGCCTTCTACTGCTGCACTAACGTCACCAGTTTGATTTTATCAGAGACTGCGGTTGGCCTGGCCTAACGGCTACTCCCTATTATGCCGCTTTCTTGTTTTTCTCCTGCGGTTTGCAGCACTAAAGAGTACCATCGAGTACCACCCGCATAAGCCACTAACCTTGTCGGTTCTCACCACGCCCAAAATGCACACCGACCAAAGTCCTGGATATTTCTCAAACACGACTTCGCACCGCTTGCAGCTACCTGTGGACCCAGAAACAATCGAACCGTCCTTTTCGGCGATTTTCGACCTCTAGCCGGTACATAACAGCACACACGTGCTCCCTAATCTCGACAATTGTTGTTTTTCGTCGTTGCATTTTTGTTGGACATCGCTCTTTTTGCACCTTTCGGTACAATTTCTGGGCGCAACAGCAGTAGAGACCGGAACGCTTTACTGTAGAGATAATAACAACAACAACAACAACGGCAACAGCCGCGGTCACAGGAGGAAAGCCACTCAGATATTTTGCACCGCTTATCATTCTGTCGCACCCACGTTTCCCCCCCTTCTCCCCAGGTTGGGAGGCCGCTTGGGGAAAAGGCCGCCCAGCGTCGACCCGTCCCGTCACCTTCGACACGACGGTCACTCAGCTCGCGTCCAGCTTCGACAATGGGCTTCGGCGCCACGCCGGCCTCTTGGAGGAAGCAGCTCGCCTCGGGAGGCCGGACCTCTTGCAGTGCTGCTTGGATTGCGGGTGTGTGTTGTCGCTTGTTGGTGTCCTCCATGCACCTGCTTAGGTTGGGTTGTTGCGTTTTGTTTTCAAGCGCGCAGGTGTTCCTATGACAGAGTTATTTTGTTTGTCCAGGGGGACAAGCCGTGTTCCCCGGCAGGATGCGTCCGTATTGTGTCTTGATTTTTTTTTCTCATGTCGGAAAGATGGTAGTATTAATAGTACCGCTCTTTTGGCGACATTTTTCTGTTACAGGTGCGTCTGAGACTCGTGCAATCGGATCCGTACAGCAATCCCGCCCTTGTCTGATCTCTCGTAACAAACAACAATTAGTTTCGGAACATTGTTTCGATTGCACGGCTGCCGCCGCCTCTTTCTCTGATATCTCGTCAACAAACAACAAGCTAAATGTTCGGAACGTCGTTCTCGGTGGCCCCACAGCTGCGTCTGGTCCCGCACGGTGCATGCAAAGGCCGCCGAGGCTGGGCAGCAGTGCGTCTTGGAGTGGGCCCGTGGCCGAGGGTTTTCGTGGGACCGCAACATGTGCTCGGGCGCAGGTGCGTTGGTGAACGATGTTGCGTCCCAAAAAAACTGCTACATATTATCATCCTTGGAACAAAGCGGTGCCTTCATGAGCGAGAAAGGTATTTGTTTGTCTTCGGCGTGTCGAGGAGGCTTGATCTATCTATCTGCCTGCTCTTGTGTTTCGGTGGCTTCGTTTCTGGTTAGACAGACACGCCGACGAAGGGTTTCCATCCAGGTGTAAGCCGTTGTGAATAGGGCCTGTGACCATGAATGACGTTTACAACGGAGAGCGGGAACATGAGTGCCATAGGTTGCATGGGATAATTTACCACACACCCTGCCCCGAAATTCAAAGCTCGATTACTCCGCGACGAAGGAGATGCCAATGTCAAACGATGATAGGGTTTCGAAAAGCCTCGGGCGAGACGATTCCAAAGCCGCCACTTTTCGGCATAGTGAGTATGCTTGTGTTTGCTGCAGAGTACTCCAGCTTTGAAAATCGGTCCGGGGTGTGTGTGGTAGCTTGTGCAACCCACGGCTGTGATGCAGGCTGCCGACGACGAACCGAGAAGCGACGTAGAATAACGCTTACGAGCACATGGTTGATGGCAACGGCAGACCTGTGGGAAGCGCTGTACTCCCGAAAGTTTCCCAGTACTCAAGTTGGAAAGTTTCCCAGTACTCAAGTTGTGGGCGTTGCCGCTCTTGCGGGAGTCAGTTGCTGCTTTCGGCCGTATGCCTTGTAGGCAGGGTTCGAGAGACGTGTACGAAAAGAGACGTCTAGGGTGAGAGACACACTACGGCGAGATGGAGGGTTGGGATTTGGAACCTCGAACGTGTGTGGGTCAAGAGGGATGTAGGAAAGAGACATCTACGACACATGTACGATGAAACATGCACGATGACAGTTCTAATATGGCATGTCTACGACGAAACATGTACGATGACGTATCTACGATTAAACATGTACGATGACAGGTCTACGATGGAAAGATCTACGATGACATGTCTACGATGCAACACGTACAATGACAGGTCTATGATGGAAAGATCTACGATGACATGACTACGATGCAACACGTACAATGACAGGTCTACGATGGAAACATCTACGATGACATGTCTACGATCCACAGTGAAACAGCTACGATGATAATGCAAGTATGGTAGGTATGATACGATGGGACAACTACGAAGGAGACCTACTCAATGCTGCTTTTGCTGTTGCTCTTTTGATTCTTTCCTGCCCACAACTGCAGCGAGGGGGGGTCACCTGGCTCTCCTCAAGTGGCTTCGCCTCGAGAACAAGTGCCCCTGGGACCACAGCGTTTGCTCCTCTGCCGCCTTGGGAGGCCACCTTGAGGTGACGCCGCTTGACTTTAGTACTGCTGTGGGTGCCGTTTTTTTCTTGACAGGGCAACAATGATGCTGGCGTGGACAACAGTGTCGGGCTTGGCGTGGTGGTTGACGGCCGAGTTGATACATGTACCCGTTGGATGTCAAAAAATGCTGCCGTTGGCCAGTGAAAGTGAAGTACTCATTTCTGGTGCTTGCACCGATATAGACCTTAAGGTCTATAGAAATGAGTATCACTGTCAGGTTCTCTAGAAATGGGTACATACCAAACAGCGGTCAGCTATTGTGTTCCGTGTTGCAAGGAAATATCGGCGACTCTGCTGGACGACAAAATCATTAGTATCTTGCATGCCACCCGCACATGCCACGTGTCTTGTAAGACTTGGCAGCCGCTTGGGGGCGGGGGACGGCTAGAGTACGCAGGCACCCTGCTGTCAACTTTGTGCTCCTTTCGGTGCTCTCGAAAAGAGTGTGGATTTGCTGGCTTTCGTTTTTGTTGACTTGGAGGTGACCGTCCACTCATTCCCGCAGGAAGCTTCTCGACGAAAAATTGGCGTCCACGTTACCTAACTTTTGCGGTCTCTTGAATCTCCGGATAACGAGTTATAGGTGTGGGTCCTCCTTCTGCTCTCAAATCACCGCCTGCTGAACCGTGCGTATTCCTACAGTACGCATGTTTTTTGTTTTGTTTCAAGTGTGGTTCCCGTTGTGCAGTCTGCTTTGCTACAAACAAGCCCTCAAACGCCGCCTGCTGAGCCGTTGGTATTCATTCCATCATACCCGTCTTTTTTTTTCTTCTTTTGACAGGTTCTTCAATGGGCCACAGAAAACGGGGCCCCGTGGAATGGCTGGGCCTGTCGAGGGGCTGCCCTGGGTGGCCACCTCGACGTGCTTAAATGGCTGCGACGGAATGGCTGCAGCTGGGATGCAGACACTTGCGCCGGCGCCGCACAGGTATACCTTCGGAGTATTCCACCCGCCCCGGACCGATTTTGATTTTCCAAAGCTCGACTTCTGCACGACGAAGAGGATGCAAGAATCAACTGATAATTTTCAGTAGTATCCAACGCCACTGCTTTTTCGGCACAGCCACTGGCCGTGTCTGCTGTGGAGTACTCTAGCTTGAAAATCGCTCCAGGGAGTGTGGTTACATGCAACATGTAGCATGTAGCGTATGGCTCAGAAATCGTCCCTGACTGTGAGGACCCTCGTGGTTTTTGTTGAAGAAAAATGCCCGTAGAGCGGGGACGTGCCCTCAAAGAGTTTTTCATTCTGAGGGGCACCATGCTTGTGAAAAGCATGGGTTTCTTGAAGGTGGCGACGACTACTGTCGTGTACCCAAAGTTTTTTGGGGGGAAAACGACACAACAGGGTATATATACCCTGGTCGAAAAGCGACACACCTGGGTACACAGTCATTAACAGCAGTAAATGCAGTCATATCATTGGTCAACGCCCAATTTCACCCCGGTGCGTCCGAAAAGGCGCAGGGTATACCCTGCCGTGACTTCTTTTCTCAACAACTGCTGTACCCTGTTCTCGGAAATGTACCCTGACCTGACGGGAAAAGAGACCCTTTCATCAATCATTTCCCTCGCAGGAATCTTCCCAACTCCTTTTCCCCTCCAACCATGGGATACCAACCGGCGAATCTTCCCGCCCAGCAACAACCATGGCAACGGGGCAGGAATCAGTTTCCGCCCCTGCGAACAACACCAGCCATCAACTCTTCCGCTCTGCTCTGAATCAACAATGGCCGGGCAACACCCCAGCACAATTGTTCCGTTTGGAAACATGCACACACGCGTACAATACCCCGTGGACTACTGCTTGCTGCAGTCTATATGCGAGACGCACGGGTCACGCTATGAAAGCGAAACCGGTCCAGCATGGTTGACATGCATATGCATGTGCCAATGTGTGGCGCTGTGCTGGCGGCGAGCTCGCGCCCGCAGAGAGGGTGAAGGGGAGAGGCAGGACCAGCACACACAGACACGCCCTTGACATCAATCACGCACACGAGTCTTATCCTTACTCTAGCAGCAGGATACTGCTGTGTCGTCCAACTCAATCACCCTCCCTGTCGGTAGAGAGAGAGTGCTCGCGTTGTATTTCATCGGCTCTTCCCGCTGAAGCCTGACGTCTTCTTACTATATTGATTGATTGGTTGGCTTGGTTGACTGGTAAGCGTGACCGCTGCTGCTACAGCAGTAGTTCAAGCAAGAAGCACATCGCAATTGAGACACAACAGACAACACACGCACGCACACACGGCACATCGCAATTGAGACGCAACAGACAATTGGTGCTCGGTCTCGCTTTCATAGCGTGACCCGTGCGTCTCGCATATAGACTGCAGCAAGCAGTAGTCCACGGGGTATTGTACGCGTGTGTGCATGTTTCCAAACGGAACAATTGTGCTGGGGTGTTGCCCGGCCATTGTTGATTCAGAGCAGAGCGGAAGAGTTGATGGCTGGTGTTGTTCGCAGGGGCGGAAACTGATTCCTGCCCCATGGTTGTTGCTGGGCGGGAAGATTCGCCGGTTGGTATCCCATGGTTGGAGGGGAAAAGGAGTTGGGAAGATTCCTGCGAGGGAAATGATTGATGAAAGGGTCTCTTTTCCCGTCAGGTCAGGGTACATTTCCGAGAACAGGGTACAACAGTTGTTGAGAAAAGAAGTCACGGCAGGGTATACCCTGCGCCTTTTCGGACGCACCGGGGTGAAATTGGGCGTTGACCAATGATATGACTGCATTTACTGCTGTTAATGACGGTGTACCCAGGTGTGTCGCTTTTCGACCAGGGTATATATACCCTGTTGTGTCGTTTTCCCTTTTTTATTATACCTGTATAAAACACAACAAATCCACCTCTATCCGTAGATGAATGAGGGTCTGGGATGTTCCGTTTGTTGAGAAGATGGTAGTGGTTGGCAGCAGGGCGGAGCGCCCTCGGACAGACACGAGTATCATTTTCTTGTTTTTTTTCACTTGGGGTTGGGTTCTTCAGCCCGCCCTGCAAACGGATGTTCCATCTCTTCTCAGTGGCAATTGATGGAAGGCAACGTACGCTCCTGTCTTCTATGATGCCACGCCTCGCTGCGGTTGTTGTTGTTGGTTGGTTGTTCTTGTCTTTGTACAGTAAAATGTCCCGATCTCTGCCGAGTGGCACTTCTAACTGACGCGGGCAGACGGCTTCAGCACCGTAACTACCCATGTAGCATGAAAATCAATGAGAGCGTAAGATGTCTAGAAAACATCGAAACAAACGCGATACAGCAGGAGCAGGAAAAGACAGAAAAACCAAGCGCAGACGCCGGTACCTTCGGCGTATTGTTGGCACGCCTATACTGTATTGATGTTGATGTCGGGTGTCGCTCGTTGGCAGAGCCATGGAAGCGATACGCTATACCTCGCGGCAGTCATTGCCCTTGAGAGGACAACTTGGTGCTTAGTTTTCACATCTATCTTCCTGTCTCAGCACGGTCGAAAGTGAACCAGAGTCGTGCCGCTCGGGCCGCTTCCGAAAAGGGCACCCGCTACTTGTAGCTCCATGTCTTCCGAGAGGCCACGTTTGAACTCCCCGGCAAGACTCGCGGAAGCCTGCTTGCCCCGGGCAGGGTGCGTGGCAGCGCCTGTTGCTTCCCGACGGACAAGTGGGCATACAGAGAGTTCTGCTTCCAGTTGCATTCGTCGCTGCCAACCATAACGACGATCTCTCCTTTGTTGCTGTGCCATCTTGACGAAAAAAGGGAGGCCACCTGACCATCTTGCGGTACGCACGTTCCCATGGATGCCCGTGGGACCCAAGGACCTGCTCGTCCGCGGCGCTGGGAGGGCACCTGGACGTCCTGGGATGGGCGCGTTCCAACGGCTGCCCCTGGAATGAATCCACCACCTGCAGGTACGACACGCGTACAATACACGCGAGGGTTTGGAGGCGGATGGCTTTCCGCGCAACAACCGCCGCAGGAGAAGCGAGAGCTAGCTGCCCAAGAACAGTGGATGGGAAAATGTAGCGAAGAGAGTGGTGAATGCAAGGGGGGTGATGAAACCAGCAAGAACATGCGCAAGGTTGGTAGAGACGTGCAGTCTTGCTGCTACACTGTTAATTGTCTTTAATCCGGAGAGCGGTTTGGCCTCCCCCATGACGCCCCCTCACGGGGTCCCAGATCGTGGCCTTTAGAAACACTTGCTGCTTGCGGCCGCGCTGATACTGACGTCTTTTCATTGGTCAGCCGGTTGGCGCGGTCGATGCTAATATTAAAATATTACAGACACACGCATGGCTGCAAGGGGTTGTCCGTCCCCACCTCGAGTTCTTCGCCCCTCCCACATCCGACGCGAACACGATTCTTTGAAACTCACACCACGCAGGGCGGCAGAAGGGGGCCACCTCCATATCTTGAAGTGGGCGGCTGCGCACGGCTGCCCGATGTCGTGCGATATTTGCAGCAAGGCAGCGAAGGTATGTATGTGTAGAATATTTTGGATTGTGCAACTTTCGGCGGTGTTGGGTATGGTTTTTGTCTCCTCGTCTAGTCGTCGCTCGTAGTATTGATATTTTCCTACCGTACGATCTTGCCTGCCTCCGTCCTGACGAAGTGGAGCCCCAATCAGGGGGGCACGCAGACAAGAATGAATCCATCCACGAAAAGCGAGTGCCCATTCATATTGGTAAAACAGAGTCGGGCGTTCGTAATATTCAAGCAATCCCTCCGAAGTGGGGTGGCTCATGAGAGCCCAATTTCATCAGTCGCCGATGAAAGATCAAATCAATTCAGGGACAAAGGTGGGGAGCAGGACCAACCCACAGCTGGCTTCCAGCTGCTCCCACGGTGTGACGCTTCCCAAGCTCAACAGCTCACACAGCTCACGTGTTTTTTTACTCGGAAGTTTTCAGCGAACCTCAACGCACCAAGAAGAAAAATTACAAACCTGTGTGGTACAGTCTTATCTTCCCACAAGCCGCGCACCCACAAGCCACGAGCTGATTCAACAGCAGAACAAAGTAGCTGTCTAACCTGGGGTGGCCTTTACCTAGCTTACGTCCAACGCTGAATTCGACGAGCTACATATAGTGCACGCATCAGCCAACCGGGCATTGCTCTACGCCCCACGGCAGTCGTGGAATGTTTTTATCCAAAACATTATCTCTGCCGACGTCTCAGCAATCCGGTTGCCGACCTTGTGTCTTATCTGCCTGCTGCCATACAAGGGGGGACACCTGGACGTGATCATGTGGGCCATGCAGCACGGGTCGGAGTGGGACAGTAACACGTGCCTGGAAGCGGCCCGGGGGGGGCATCTCGACGTGCTGAAATGGTGCAGAGCTCACGGAGCCCCCTGGCACGTCGACACGTGTTCCGCCGCAGCCGGTGGAGGCCACCTCGCTGTCCTGCAGTGGTGCCGACACAACGGGGCACCCGCCTGGTGAGAATCGAGCGAGCGGACAGGGAACCAACCTGTCGTAGAATGGTGGTGTGATGGATCGATTCTCTTGTTTTCTGTCCCAACACATGCATGAACCGCAGAGGGCTGGCGGAGAAATAAAAACTCCTCTCCTGCGTGGTCTGTTTCCTCCCGGCTGAATTGACCGCGGTTGGTGGAAACTGTGCGGAAATGCGGAAGAACTGGAGTCCAGCAGAAATGGGACGAAGTGTTGTGTTGTGTATGTCAGAGGCTTCCGTCGTCTCCTCCGACGTACTTTTACCCGAAAGGTTAAGGTTTCGTTGCGGTGCGCGATACTTGCCGAGGGGCAGCTAGCTCTGTGACACCCGCCCCTCCCCCCCCCCCCCCCTACAATGCAAAAAGTCGTGTCACAATGTAACGCCTAGGCCACATCGGTGCACCTTACGTTTCTGTTGCCGCGCGTTAGCACAACCCCACGGCAATCTTTGACCTACATAGTGGAGGATGAGCTTATTTTTGCTCTTTGCGATCGTGCTTGTGCGTCACGATGACTTGCGCTTCCCCACTTGCGAAAGAGACCCATACGTAGGATACGAGGGGGCGGCGATGACAACAGATACCCCCGGCGAATTGGTTGTTTCGATGCACGAACGACACCAGTTTGGTTCTCCAGCGATGAATAGAAATGGACCTTTCTGGTTGCCCATTGCTTGTTTGTTTTCTTGCGCCGTAATCTGTAGCGGAACCGGAAACCGTTTTTTATGTTGTGAAGACAACAACAACAAATCTGTTCTTGACTTTCTTCTATCTAATCGTTGTTGATCACACACCTCAGGTGCCGTAGTCGGTCCTTGACTGACGTCTTTTTTTTCTCTTAAACGTTGTCGATCACGCCTCGATTGTCACCGTTAGGGACGAAGGCACATGCAACGCGGCCGCCAGGGGGGGGCACCTCCAAGTGCTCAAGTGGGCGAGAATCAACGGGGCCCCGTGGGACGCCAAGGTCACCAACTGGGCGGCCAAGGGCGGGCATGCGCCGGTGGTGCGGTGGGTTCTGGAGAACGGCTGCCCAACGGGCACGGGCGGGAGTCTGTACTATTAGGTGGGGCGCTCCGGCTTCTTGGGTGCAGGAAAGCCATTCGCCATTTCGTTGGAGTTCATCCAGTGTGCGTCGATGGTCTTTTGGTGGGAAGGGGCGTTGGAGCGATGTGTAAACACCGCAGTATGGAAAAGGATTTCAAGCTCATGTATGTCGGTGTTTGCTGTTCTTGGTGGTGTCGTTTGGGTTGGGGGGGGGGGGGGAACCCACCGTATCCTAGTTATTTGGACGACTTTGACTAGGTCGTTCGCTGTATGTATATAACGGTGTTGTCTTAACACAGCAGGTGTCCGTGATTGATCATTGTTTTCCGTGGGAGAGTTTTGTTTCTCACGTTTTGGAGACATGTGCTGTCCGCCTATTTCGTGTCGTTATTTGACATCTACTATTGGTCACCGATATAAGGAGTGAGCCCTGTGGGCCCATTTTTGTTTCTATTTGCACGAAGGATTAAAGACGTGTGGAATCATTCCATGTAAGAGACATCCTCGACCACCAACTAGAGACGTGGCATGGCTGGGACTGATTTTCAAAGCTCGAGTACTATACTGGGTATACAGCAGGGAAGAGTGGCTGTGCCGAAAGTGGTGGCAATTGAACCGTCTCGTCGAGAGCTTTCCGGAAACATATCGTTTGATTTGCACGTGTACATCGTCTCCGGCGTGGAGGGATCGAGCTTTGAAAAATGGACTCACAGAGTGTGGCATCTCTTTCATCACGAGTGCTGTATTTGGAAGGCGCAAGCTGCATCGCACGCGCGTTTTTTCTTGTGTATCTCGTTCTATTCTATTCTATTCTATTCTATTCTATTCTTTTCAATTCTTCGTGAGCGTGTCCTTGATGGTCGTGGTACAGATACGTCTTGTTCTTGGGAGACGGCGGGCATCACTCTAGTAATATGTTGTTTGTAGTAGCAAGCGCCGCTAGGGCGATTGCATGCCAAGGTTGTTGAGAGGGAGACTGACTCACACTCGTGTTGGCGGGTCAAGTTACGCCGTAGTAATGCGGTATGCATTCCGTTCCAGCACTTTTCCCCGTGTCAGATCGTTTTTTTCTCGTGGTAGATCGGTTTTTCCCCGTGGTAGATCGGGTTTCCTGGTGAAGCGCCGAACATGACCGGTTTCGCAGCGCTTCCATTCCAGGCTTGTAGCAATAATAAATTGATACACGCGGGCGTGGCCGCTATAGGTGTTTTGCTGCGAGTTGCGTGGCTTCCGGGGAGAAGAGGGTAATGGGAGCATTCATTTTGCTATTCCCACGAATACGCGGCACTGGGGCGTCACGCGGTACGCCGTTAAACGGTCATTTTATTTCGACATTGTCGTCGTGCGATAGCAAGCAAGCCCAGCCCCAGGAGCTGAAAAGTAGATCGATACACAGTAGTGCCTGCCGGTATGAATCGTGATTCGTCTTTGGTTTTGATTTTTTTGGGTTCGGGCGCTGCGTCCGCGGAACACGAACACGATCAGACGGAGGCGCAACGGTGTCGTTCAACATAATTGTTGTTGATAGTTTTTTTTTTTCGGGGGAATTCGTCGATTACTTGCGTCAATTTGTTTTGGAGGAAGGGTCGCGTCTGTTTCTTGGCTGACGGTTGGTCTACGGTTGACAGCCTCCGATTTGTGGCTACTGTAGAACCGTGTTATCTTGTCCTGTGGCTAGAATCTTTCATATCATTACGAATCGTCACTTTTACCCTTGTCGTCTACGTCTGGGCTGGTGGTATCTATATCTACACGATCTATTCTTCCCTAGGCTCTTTTCGTGGTCTTACCGAGGGACTCCGTGTTTCTGTTTCTGGGGGGGGGGGGGGGGGAGAGGGTGGCGGTGCGGGCGTGAGCGTGCCCTCCTAGAACTACCGCCCGACGGTCAGGTTGGTTGATGCGGATTCTGTGGCTGGGTGTTGGGGGGGAGGGGTATGATCTAGTATTCGTCGTTCCCCCCGTAGAACTGGTCCTCATTTTGTCCCACGTAGTAGTACCGAGTTTGGGCAAAAATAGTACCACCGAATAGAGCCAAGATGCCAAGGGAAACGGGCGAAGGTAATGAAATGTAGGGGGTAGACACCATCTGAGGAGAAGTGAGTTGCGTGGTGTGTCGCCTCGTTCGTGTGTTGTTTTTGTTCGTTTTCCAGTGGCTGTGTTTCATTCGTTGTTTTCTAAGCAAGTCGTATTTATCTGGGAGGACCAGGGAATGCGTTGTGGAAACGCAGCATATGCATGCATTTTCGTGGTTGTATAAACAGGGAAAAATAAAAACGATGGAAGAAATCGGTCGAAAACCATCCTAAGAGCTTTGTCGTCGACAGGACGTTTGTTGTCTTTGTAGCACAAGCGAGTGAGGGGTGCTAGAATGGTGTTAACCAACGCCACTGCACTAAATGCCTCTTCTTGAAAGAGTGGAAGTAACACGGAATGGTAGAGAAGACGCTCCAAAGAAAGAAACCCACGAAGTAGCGGGGTATTCGATGTACATTCGGTTCTTGGCACGGCGTGGCACGAGGAGCAAGCATGGTGGTATGTAGGTGATTCTGTTTGGCAGCGAAACGCCGGGTGGCGGCAACGGACCGAGGGATGCCTCTTGCAGACGTTCCAGGTCAAAGAAAACAAGAAAGAAACTGAGTGTCGAGCGCGGTTGCGAGGAAGCCTTGGTAGCTCCGCGCTTCTGGAATCTCCCTCAAGGTTTGTTGTAGACGGCGCTAGAAATCTTCGTGTAACAACGACGTATGCATCGTAAGTGTTTGGTCGATTCTGTTTGCCACGTTCACTGAAGGAGGGCGGAAGTTGGACCTGCTTTGCTTTACTTTTTTGTGGACAGTCTCACAAGCTCGCCGGCTGAACCCCTAGTGCGGCTGTATTCTGTACCATGGGAAGAACTAAATAGGTCGCGAGACCCCGTGCCGAATTGATCCAACCAACTTGTATTCGGGTTTTCTGTCGAATGTAGCGTTTTCGTCAGACCTGCTGGACGCACCGAACTCTCTGTTCGTGGCTTGACGGTGTGTGTTGGCATGCAAACTCGCAGTGCGGTCATTGGTCTGCGTCTATCACTCCGGTACATACGTAGGTCCTTGAGTCGTAAGTCGATCGAATCGTACCCCAAGAATCGAGCAGCGATTGTAAACAAGCAGGGTACCCCGTATAGGTGAAATGCGAGTCACTGAACCCCCGAGCCAGGAGGTGTCTCATCTCTCCCCCGCCCTTCAGGCTGTTGTTGTTTTGCAAGAGTGCGGTGAGGCATAGTACTGAAGCCGGTGCTTGCCCCGTATCGCAACTATTTAAAACATGTTGCACTGTGCTGTGTCAGGTCCAAAGTGTAGTGTAGATCTTGTACGACGCCTGGCAGGAGTTACCACCATGGCAGGCACCGTAAGGCGCCTGCTGCTATCGACGCATCTCCTCATCATCAGTAGTGGGTCAGCCGAAAGTGTTCCTGCGGCAAACGTCATACACGCCTCTTGCACTGGCTAATACCAACGGCCGACTTTTGCTCGTTGGAACGGATGGTTCTTTGTTGTGTGTGGGGGGTACAGGTTGACCAGCTGTAGAGTGATACCGCAGGGAGGGAGGGGCATCCGTCATGGAGGAGAAAATGCGCAATCCGATTGGTTGGTGAGATTGTGTTCCAACAACACGAGATTATTTGTGCTGGGTGCCACCACTACGGCAGCGACCAGATTTGAGTCTCGGGACAACGCGCTGCTTGCACTCTTGTGCAGGGGGAGGATGGGGGGAAAGGCACCTCCTAAGCCTACGATTGTTATGCGCGAGGAGAGACGGGATGGCACACAAATTTCGTCTGAATTTCTGGCAGCCAGAGGCCCCAGCCCACTCCTTGACAAGGCGGCTTGGCTTTCCCCAATTGCAGCTCGGGGTTTCTGCTGCGGCTGAGAAAACCGACCACTAAATACTTGCTTCTGTTTTATTTCGCATGCGTACAAGCATGTATGACGCATACCGGTAGGGAGTCAGTTTTGGGCTCTCGCGTTCACGAAAAAAACGCATATAGGTCTTACCCGGGAGAAAAACTCGTCATGTGGAGTATGGGTCAGTCAAGGTTATCCCCCCTCCAAGTCACACGCAACCAACAACGCCCTCACACCCGGGAACACAGACGATCACAATCAACCCTTGAAGCAAGGTGGCCGTCACATCTCAGCCGACCCAGTTGGGGACGCACCCACCCGTAACCTACATCTGTCCGGGCTTTGTGTAGCTACTAGCTGTCCGCGTTTGTTTGTAGACGTACTATTTTTTGTGCGTGTGAATGAGCCGCACCGTCTTCCGGTATCCGTAACGGCCTGCTCATCATCCGGAGGCCCACCTCGAATCGTAAAGTGTCAAGGATGGATGTGGTCTGTCATGTTCAGCCGGAGTCTCTCGGGGACCTACCACATGACAGACAAAATGCAACAATTTCGTACACGCGTCAAGGTATGCTTTCGAAGTGTTTTGCGGAGTGCTCAACGACGTCACCAAACGAACCAAGGGCACATGATAATTCCTTAATAGCGATGCCTACCACACGCTGGAGTGTACCAGAGTCCAACCATGTACGATACTACAAGCCTAATGGAACGAATGGAAGGTAGTCCCCTTGTTTTCCACCTGTAGTGAAATTACTGGCAGAAGACCCGCCGACGATAATCTTTATCTCCTTCGACGTCCGACTTGCTAAATACAACCTTCCGATCTCCCTCTCCCCCCCTCTTTTCCTGATCTTGCTTCGTTCCTTGAAAATCTAGTCTCCAATCATCGTGTATCGTCAAGCCTACTCTTTCTCATTCTTCGATGATCGCAAACCCAAAAAAAAAACCTCCATACCTAGCCCACTCTGTGGGTTGTGTAGCCCCCTCGCCTTTTGGGGGGGGGAGGGGGTATGCATATGAATCTGACTCGTGCTCTGAAGGTGCTCTTCCATACATTTAGCGAGAAAGTCATTTGCAACGAACCTAACTGCATAATCGGGTTCACGACTTGATTTGAGCGTGCAGGTCGAGGGGGTTCTGGGGGGGAGGGAGGGGGGGGGGGTACTCATGTGAACGCCGGCCGTACAGTCGGTAAACGATTGACCTCGCATCCCTACAATGCCGGAACGGAGCGACATGCCGTTTATTTCGCCGGCCCATGCTACGTTTCAGACGGACACACCAGAAGCTGGCAAACATTCTTGCGTTTGCTGTGCCAAACGAGACATGTGCCATGGGTTGATTTGGGGGTTGATTTGGGCATCCGGCTGACCAAATGTTTCACGTGTGGCATGACGACTATACTTCATGTACTGCAAGGGGCTTTGGTCTTTCCGCGCTTGTACGGAAAAGGTGCGCCGCACACAGCGAATACGTCGCTTCGTGTGTGATACACTTGGGGAGTAAAAATCTGCATATTGGGTACTTCAAGTTGAAAAGCTACACACAAGGAATTCTTCATTAAGAAAATTGTGCTCTACATTGTAGGGCGTTCCATCTATTGTACAGTGTGCGGTGGACATCCTACAAGGGGTGACCTCTGGGACCGAAGCCCACAATAGGGCGGGGGGGGGGCAACCAACGCATATATATACAAAAGCGGCCCACCCCGGGCCTCAATCCATTTCGTTTATTAACCCTCTTTTGGGATATTACCATCGCCTTTATCAATTCAAATAGACGTTTGTACGATGATGGTGTACCGTGGCCGAATCCGAGTACGCGAAATTCCGTACAGGTCTCGAAAAAAGGGTCACATGAAAATGAGGGGCATACATGGACGGGGGTCCAGAGCGGCCGAATCCTCCTTCGTCTGTCCTGAAGGGTGCCGAAGCATCGGTGGTCAAGCCACACCTTTCGACGAAGAGACAACAGTTACGTTTCTTCAATGAGGCGGTCTAGGCCTGATACCTCTACCAATCATTTACCAATCATCCATCATCACTCAAAACCACCTGGGAGAGAGAAGGCTGCCCACTACATCACACGTACGCCTGCCCCCCTCTCCTTCCTATCACAAGCAGCTATGATAGTTGTGCTATTCGAATGCATTGAGACCGAGTGTTCAATAGTTTGAGCTCCAATCAAACCAAGGCCCGATCTACCTCCTCACACCATTTCGAGAGAGAAAAGCAGAGAGAAGACAGGACTACAAGCAAGCTCATTCCGCCATGAGTAGTCGACGTATGCCAACAAGGGCAGGGTCCACGGTGAGTCATTTGCATACAACTTTGTGGAACAAAGGAGTTGGTCGTAAGGTCACTTTTGAAACGCGACGAACGCAGTTAGCGCCCGCACTCAAGAGCCTGTTTCGCCGAGACTTGTTTCAAACAATGGGAGTATCCTTCTCTATGAGGTACCGCAACAGCGACCTAACTTAAATATTTATGCGTTTTAGAGCAAGTACTGGTAGGCTTTTCGACGGAAGTACCTGTCTGTTCTTGCGGTCAAGTTGTTGAGTTTTCTTTCATTCAAATCCTGAATTTCTTAGCTCCTCCTCAGGTTCTGAAGACTTCAAGTAAGTGCGGGCGCTAACTACAAGTCTGCATGGTGTGGCTGCAACATACACGAGAAGAGGAAGACTTTGATCAATCGATGGGGTAGGGCTTCGCAAAATACTCCGGAGTACGCATATACATATATATTTTGTGATGAAAGTATCGCACGCGGTGAGTGGTATGGGTAAGTAATTGTGTTGTTACCGAATTCGTCCGCTATGTGCATTGTTATTCACGTAATTTGTCGGGGTGGGGGCGTCGATGGTAAAAACCAGGTGATACCTTAGTATTCAAGGTTTGCTATATATAAATGGCATTCTACAGTACAGCAGTAGTATGTGAAAACAAAAATTAGATGTAGCCATGCAGGGGCACACCGACCGGTCGATTCTATCTAGTAACCAGTGACGAATTAGCAACAGATGCACACTCCATCATGACGCAGGATTTGTTTTTCGTAACACGGACCCGCCGTGCAAAGCGATGGTGGTCTGGTGGTGTGGGCTGCACCTATTTTACCGTCTTCTCGCACGGAACGGACGGTGAAAAAAACTATGATCCACCAGACCACCAGCAAGCAAGCTCACCGTTCTTTCCCTCTCTCCCACAACCACACCTCACCCAGACCACCAAAACAGTCCTCCACCACGCGCCCTCAAGATCGAGCTGCACGCAAGACCCAACCATCGCAGCGCCACACGGACGTCCTCTCTCATGTTCCAGAGCCCGATCCTGGCTGGGGTGAAGATGCAAGCCTCGGCGGAGCACCTGTAGTTTCCAACGGCGGAAGGAAGCTAGCTGCCGCAGTCAGGCGAGAAAGATTACCATGCATGCTGTTGTATGGCACATAGAGAACAGCCGTTGTAGCCATGTGCTGATTTGCTTCTCCCTACCACATCTCTCAGAGCTCTCAGAATGCTCTCTCATCCTCTCTGGACCGGGCGTTGAGAGTGCGGCTGCGAGAAGAAAGGGGCATATCGATCGCCGCTCCGTGCGTTATTTTTACTTCCCGTTCTAGGTGGCGAAGGGCGAGAGAGACTCGTCCGTTCAAATCAGGATTTCATTTTCAAACCACCACAAAAAAAGAGAGCCAAAAAAGACGCTTTCTTTCATGGACTGCAGTGACTGCTGTCTCTCAAAGAACCACCGCGATGGCGGCGGGCGAAGCCCTGCATCGGTAGGTACAGTAGATCGGATTAGCGTAGCGATGAAGGATTCTGCCTCTCTCTACCGTGCAGCCGTGTTGTCGGTGCCGAAAGGTAGTGGCCGTCTGTGGATACAACGGGAAGGTGCGCCAAGAAGCAAATGAATGTTGACCTAAAAAAAACACAAACGGCTAGCTCCAGCCTTGTGTGACTGCTGTTGTTGGATCAAGTTTAACCCATACATACATACATGTTGTCCGGTCATCCCAGATATGCCATATGGAACATGCTCTTCGCCGTGTGTGTGTACTGCTGTAGGGACCTCATGTCTCTCTCCACCTCTTTCCAACATGGCAGACACTCACAGCCGAACCCCACGCTCTACTTTGCTGCCCGACTCTCTTTTTTGCGACCTCGGACCAATCAAGGCAAGCAAGTCATTCCAAGCCCTGCTGGTTGCAACGACCACACACACACGCAAGAGAGCGCGGCGAGGACAGAGAGGACAGAGGACAGCCTGGCCCTCTCTTGTCCGCCCCTCCCCTTTGGTAAGCGCCCGCTGGTATGTAGAAGCTAACAGCAGATTACGCCTAGTGTCTGCAGGTCCGTAGCCACTATCAGCTGACGACAGACGGTACCAGAGGGGAAGGCAGATTCGTGAGCAAAAGATGCGCTATCGTATGCATAAAAGAGGAAGATTACAGAGGAGCCCAGTAGATACAGCTGTAGATCCGGAGCTGATTGCCGTGTTTTTCGAAAGTTGTTTGTGGTCTTCTCACAGCATCCTCGGCCTTTCCGCAACTGCTGCTGCTCTGCTGTGCCAAATCGAGGCGCAACCAGAGACAAGGCATGTACAGTAGGTCAGCCTCCCTTGGAGGTATGTGTTGCATATCCATCCGCGCTCATAGAAAGGAGATCACACACCAAGGACTCGGACGTGAGCTGCTACAAAATTTGTGGAGCCAGCGAGACCCAGGGACAACGGCAAATTGAAAAAAGTTCATAAATTATTAATTCCGCCGCATCTTTTCCTCCCTAACCATTTCTGTGTTTGCATGCCGGTCATCCTCTGCCCAAAGACAAGACAAGCGAAGGCCGGGGTGCTGCTCTAGCTGTGGTGGCCTGTTGACACGCTGTTCCTTGACGATGATGTAAGAAGGTAAGGGCCGATCTCGTAGCTAGCGACCCGATGGGCGGCATGGAACAAGCTCTGCATGAAGCAAAGAGACCCCGATTGTAGATATATCGCACAACGTATACAAAGGGGGGGTCGTGCGAGGAATGCAAATCTCCGCAATCTCCGTTTGTTTTGCTGCTCCACCAGTGCTCCCACCACCTGATTGCAGCAGTAGCATGATCTCAGGTCCGTCCACCATCATGCAAGTTTCCACTCCGCGAATTACCAGCCGTAGTCTGCGTGTTGTCAAGACACTATAGCCACCGTTTCTATCTCATGTAATGGGTCTCCGCTGGTGGTGTAGCTGCTGCACCGTGGATAGATATCAACACCATCAGCTACACAACGTCCGACTACACATTATTACAGTAGCAGTTGCTGTACCAGAGGTACTACTGCTGCTGTAGACTGGATGTTTCTGCTCGCTACCCACTTGAGAGACTGGCCTCTGTTGGTTGATTGGTTGTTCTTGTTCACATCGTGTAGCACTTTCAAGGTGGCCTACCGTCGTATCCAGGGCCTGCCTGCGACGGGCAAAACCTGGGGTGCTGCAACGGTAGAGATGGTCATCGAACCCCGTTCCGATGTACTACATACAGCAGTATTGATGTGCTGGAGTTGTGACTCTAACGAAAAAGCTTGGGGTTGCGGTGAAATCCTGCCGGACGTTGCATGGTCTGTCGTACTGCTGTAGAACTACACCAGAATGTACTGGTGTACGACTTGGTAGGCATGCAGCTTGCAATTCTTGGCTGCCTCGCGTGAGGTTTGTTGTTGCGGTGCTACATCCCACCGTCAGCCACGCTGTCTTTCTGTCCGATTATGTAGGTCTATGCAGCACTCTCCATAGCACGTCTACAGTAGTCTAGAACTCGTTTGTCTCGTGATGATGCACATGGGCGTGGGGCGTGTAAGGGTATCTCTCTCCTCTCCCACTCTCCGCCACGAGACCACACATCCATCCATCCAGATCCACTACCCTGTCGAAGTGCGTCATGCGGCGTCTTCTGATCCTTTCGGAGCGTCAACCATGCGGCGTTCAACCATGCAGCGTGTCTAGCATCGCGGTTGGCTCCAGTGGTTGAAAGTTAACATCCACATCACTTGACTCTACCCGTTCGAGGCAAACCACAGTCCAAGGAGATGCATCCACAGTCGAAGGATGTGTATTGAAGTCTTTGCAGTGAATGGGGTAGAAACCCTGCCGGATATTGGGCATTGGGCATATTCTAAAGGTGTCCCTTTTGATTGGAAAAATATGTATACCTGCGAATACAATGGCCGACGACACGGTCCCATTCCGGTCAAGGCAGGGTACATGTCGAGTAACAGGGTAAAGATGTAGAGACGAGTAGCCGTGGCAGGGTATACCCCGGTCTACAGGTGAAACGCGAGGTTGATCTTGGGCATCTGCAAATCAACGAGGGTCGGTTCCACCTTCATCCACAGTATGTACCCGCCTAAGAAGGAATTTGCCTAGAGTACACCCCGTCGATTAGCTGCCGAAAATCTCACTCCCACTGTTCTTGTGTCTGCCCCTCATTGAGGCAGGTTGCGCCGTGCCGTTCGTGTACCACCTTGTCGTCCGAAGCTCGTGGGTAAGAAGACCAAGCAAGTCAAGACCTTCTTCCGCCCACCCGCCCCCACGATACCACGTTTGTTTCCAAGAACGGACGACAAGGCAACACCAAAAAGGCGAGAGGGGGGGGGTCTAGGTTCTAGACCGGAGTACGGTGTTTCGTCGAGAGATTTATGTTTATGGTTCTCGGCAGGTACTGTAGGTGTCGAGAGATCGAGGAGACTGATTTCTGATTTGTTCTGGGCAGACGTCGAGATCAGAGGGCGATCTCTGATTTCTGATTTCTGATTTCTGTGCAGATCGATGTCGAAATCGGGACCTCTGGTGGTTTCTTGGCAGCAGCTGTCGAGATCTAGCTGGATTTCTCGGCAGGCAGACGGCTCTCTGTGTACTTGTGTACTTGTGTACTTGTGTACTTGTGTACTTGTGTACTTGTGTACTTGTGTACTTGTGTACTTGCTCTTGCTCGCACGGCGTTAATTGGTTACGATGATAGCTGGTTCTACCTGGCCGCCTGCCTTTGCTTTGGGGAATGGGGGGGGGAAAGGCAAGGCAGGTAGGCAAGAAACCTGGGGTAGAGAAGCTGGAGCCCGTGACACCGCTATTGATATGCTAGCTCGCACGAAGCCTTGTTTTGGCTTGCGGTGAAAATCCTACCAGTCATTGAAGTATCGTTCTGTCCGACGACGCTCGGTAGCACTTGCACGTGTTCGGTTCTTGGCTCGCACGAAGCTGCTGTTTGTTCGGCGGTGGCTTGCGGTGAAAATCCGATCAGTCGTGGTCGTTCCGGCGGCGGCGACTCCGGTAGCTCTTGCACGTGCGCATCTGTGGTCTCTTGTTTTGAGTTGGAAAGAATGCTTGCAATTCTGCTGGATGCCATTTCAACGCGCAGGGTGGGGTATCGATCGTCACACATGGTGCGGGTGCCGATCATTCGTGGCTTTATCATGTTGTCGGCGACGAGAGACGCAATGACTGACCTGCCTCGAGCAGCACCACCTTGTTATTTCTTTTTTTCCCAGTGTTTTCTCGCCACCCATCCACAGGTCAACCTTCTCTACGGTGTCCCTCGTGGACAAGACGAAGCAAGCCGGTACCTTCCGTCCGCGCCCACGGCACGATCGACAAGGAAAAGCTTCACCACCACAAACAAAAGGGAAAGAGATACAGTACAATTGTACCATGTTTCTTGAGCGTCGAGACTCGACACTTCACCGCTCTTTGATTTTTCGCGCAGTTTCGATCAGGGCTACTGTATGTATCTTTGTTTTGTATGCTTGTGACGGGGAAATTCTGGAGTAGAGGTCAGCGCGCGTCGCCGCTCGATATGCTTTGACTTGCGCGAAGTGTTTGCATGCGATGAAGTTCGTTAATCGGGCGCCAGCTAGAAAAAAGTCAGTACTGGCACGCGAGTCGTCGAAACCGTAACCGCCTTGCCTCCTGTGGTCACTTCGTTCCTAACCGTTAGGTTGGAAAGGAGGAATGTCAACAAAAATATCCTTTGCATAGCAAAGGGCAGAGAGAAAAACCTGCAGTTGGGAATCCGGAGATACACCCTTGAGTAAGATAGTAGAGGAACCTTTTTCTTTATTAGTAAAGTAATAAAGGAAAACAAAACCGTCGGTGAATCGCTCCACAGGACAAAGTCACCCCAGAATCCCTAGCCACACCAATCGCGGGACACGCACACTGCCAAACGCTTTTCGTCCTTGCAAAACACTACCCAACACCCGTTTGCAGCACTACCGGCGTGAAAGGCGACCAATGGCGTTAGTGACCAATTACGGCTACCATATCGCCCTCCACACCACTACGAGTAGCGGCCCTAGCACTTCATTTTTCAATCTCATTTGCTTTTTGCCTCGTCTACAGGGCGGCTCATGTCCTCTCTCTCATTCTCCCACTAAGCTGTGTCTAATACCAAACAGAATGGCTTTTTTCATATCAAACATATAAATCAACGATGGACATACATGAACCACCCACGGCAGATCTTTAGTTAAACCTAAACCACCACCACGTGCTTGCGCACGTCTGCAGTGCGCGCCTTCCATCTACGGCATTCAACCAGAGCGGTGTGCACGTGTATTGATCGCTCAACCTTCTCGCATCTTTTCCTTGATACAGCGAAAATTCCGAACTAGGAACGATTGATTGTCCCCGCTCCGTCCCATCGCACGACAGTCTAACGCGGAGAAAGAAGGCGTAAAAACACAGGACGAGCCTCCCATCAGGGGGAGCAATTTTGAAACTTAGAAAACATGAACCGAGATACAATGAGTTGCCTGCGACAGCTTCGTCACAGCGACAGAAAAAACAAAAAATCAAAACTGCTGGTGACGAAACCACGTACGGACAAAGAGAGAGCGCAAAACACGGCGGCAGGCCAATCCCCCCCCGCCCGCCGCTCAAATCTCTTCAGCACCACTTCTCTTTCATCTTTAGAGGCCCGTCTACACGCATAATACACAGCGTACAGTGGTTCTGCTCGTTTTACTGGTCCAACGATCACTCCGTCGCACGACGTGTTTCGGGGGCTCATCCTCAACTGCTTGCAACTTCCGACAAAAGCGGATTGGTAGAAAAACCGTCTCGAATCTCCTGAGCCAAACTCCTCTCATCACAAAATTTTAACGGCAGAGGGTCATTCATCCGCTCAGCTGGCGTCTTCTTGTCTCGGTTCACCAACAAGAGTCCTCACATATTCCACTGTCTATAGTCCACCTGCGCCACAACACCAACCCTAGGATACCCGTACCATAAAATAACCGTCTCCGAACGACTCGACACACTTCGCCGTTCACCCTTTGTCACAACCCACTCGCGGCGCGACCTTAATCTACGGTAACATGTACGGGGGAAACACAAGACGCGTATGTTGTCGCTACCGCACACAATAAAAAAAACTTGGCAGCGAACCACCACCAACATCCGGGAGGAAGGTCTACGTCACAACCGCTAGGCCGAAACTTCGCCTGTCGGCCCCCTTTCTGCCCTTCTTTCCCCTCAAGCCACACACACCTTCACTCGTTGCTTGAATCGCGAGCCGGCCCTGCTTGCATGCCTCTTCAAGTACCTCAGGATTTCTCTTGTACGACCCCGGCTTCTTTCTCGACCGAGTGATTACACCAACATTTTTTCTAATTCGAGTGAAAAGTCTTCGTTCACTCTTGCAATAATATTATTTGCTTTCTGTTCGCGAAGTCTGTAGCATACAGCCTGCTGAAACCTGCAGCGCGACAAATAAATGTGCCCGCACACACGGACGCAAGTCGCTCGAAATGCGAGCTCCCATCCCTCCCGGCCTGGAAAACCAACCAACAAAGAAAGCGGGTAGATCTGCTCCGGGAAACCGCGCGCTGTGATCGATCGGCGCGCCAACAAACACATGAATATCAACACCGGGCGGGAATGGGGACTTACAGCACCGGCCCGTCACTACGGAAAACATTTGCCCGAGAAAAAACAAGCTCAATTCTTTCCCGAAAAATAAGAAACAGGACAAGAAGCACAGCACAGTGAGCGGTGGATCCTACACTACATCCGATTCGGCGGGCTATGCTCGACGATTGGCAAGCAGCTAGGAACCCGGGCCTTCGATCCGTTTGAATGACAACCGGACCACAAAGTGCTGAGCAAAACACGGGCAAGCAACACAAGTTGGCGCTTCTTCATAGCGGGCCAGTACTGCTGTCTTCCATCCCGTTCAAGTACCCTGGACACAAGACAGCAGTGCGTGGAACCCTTCACGCCGGAGACAACAGCCTTTCTGCGCAGATCTCGGTTCCGAAGGATCTTTGAAAAACAGATTCCATCTCGTCAAAACGCCACGATCGCATGAAGAGTCGGCAGATACTCCTGATCTATCGCATGCGTCACGCCAACACAAGGTCTGCCTCTTTTCAACACGCACAGTTTACCCCGCAACACTCACGAGCCACCAACTTTGCCGCAGCCTCCACAACTTTTTTTTTTTTTGCAGAAGGAAAGGGGTTACGATAGCGCGCTCTATTGCACCATCGCATTAGTAGCTCGAGAACGCCCAACGAATTCGGCAGAGGCACCAACCAGCAGCCAAGGCACTCACGGTCTTCCCATGTGCCCGCGCCCTTCTTGCCCCCCGAGCACGCGTTCAAATGTCACGGCAGGCCTCCAAGGCGCCGTACACTTCTCTAAATACCCAGCCTCCTCAGCAAAACAAATTACACACGCCCAAGAATCGTTCTCACTCTTGTCTCTCCGCCGGTTCTTTTTGACCGATGACTTCCTCCACGTTTCCGAATGTAATGTGGTGCTCCTGTTCCTCCTCCTCTTCATACGGCTCTTCATCATAGGGCTCTTCATCCACTCCTCCTAGTCCTTGATGTTCTTGCGGAATCGTTAAGAGCACCTTGGTGGGCGGTAGTTGCTCCCGTGTCCAATGAAGAGGCGAGTGTCTGGTCCTGACACGGGTCTCCCCTGTGTGATCCTGCGACAAACGAATAACCAGTCAAGGGATCATGAGGGGCATCAGATGGGGTGCCCAATGCGTACAGTACCCAAAGCCGGTTGAGTTTATAGAGGCGTGTTGGTTTGGCCCATGTTGATGTTGATGCCAAAACACATGGTTACTGCTGTGCCGCCAAGAAGAAATAAAGATACAGCGTAAGTACAAGTATTTTAGCTGAAAAAAAAACTTTCGTTATTTACGCGGCGTGTCCGGGACGGCGGCTACAAGTCTGCTCGGAGAATCCTTTCCCCGTTTTTTCACGACAACAACCGTCTGAAGGCGAGTGCACCGCGACGCACCTGCTCCATGATCTCGAGCTCGCTAGAGCGCCTCATCGCTTCGATTAGCAGTGAGTAGTCACTCGTCATGCTCCGCACGCGGTTGAAGACGATGATCTGAGGAGGGGGGCGTGGGAAGGGGGTCGGGCCAAGACCAGGTCAGGTCGTACAGAATGAGCAAGAGCGAACGGCGAGCAAGTAATTTTGCCGTTGCCAACCGTCACGACGGCAAGCCCATCCGATTTGTGCAAGGGCGTGGTGCGCCAAGAGGGGTCCGGTCCGGAGCAGTGGCGAGTCAACCCAAAACCCACCACAATAAGATTTTTCGTGTCGAGGCACGATAACGGCAGACAGGGTTGAAACACCAGGAAAATATGACTTCCGACCACAGGCCCCGTGCGTTCTTCGCCAAATTGCGCGCACACGCACGACACAAAAAACCCTCACATGTTCCAACGACCCCTTTGGAAACGACGTTTAATCTTCCAGCGGCAGGGGGGTTCCGTTGCTCTCACCTTCGACACGGCGACGAAGCCTTCCGGGTCCATGAGGCCCCTGAGGTACGCGTCCGTCACCAGGTTGTCCGCCGAGAAGTAGTACTCCACCTGCCACCGCAGGGCGGCCATGAGGGCCTCAAACGCCTCCCCGCCGTCGCTTCCGCCGCCGCCGACGTTCGCGCCGGCCGGGGGGAGGTACCCCGTCGATGACGGCCCATGCCCAGGCTGCTGCTGCTGCTGCTGTCCGTACATCGGAGTAACAACGCCGCCACCGCCGCCGACCACATCTTCGACGGGCAGCACCTGCATCTTCAGCGGGGGGGGCGAGAATCGACCCTGCTGCTGCTGCTGCTGCTGCTCGTACGGCGGCGGGAGAATCATCGCCTGCGGGGGCGCCAGCACCGCCGCGTCGGGCGAAAACTCAATGCCGCCGCCGCCACCGCCGCCGCTGCTGCTACCGCCGGGAGAGCCGTCGTAGCTGTCGTCGCGAACGTGGTGGAAGTGGGGGTCCCCCCCCCCCGTGACGATCCCGCCGCCGCGTGGGGAAACCCCGGGCGAGGGGAGCGCCGGAAGATGTGCCGCCGCCGGGTGGGACGGCGGGTAGATTCCTGCGGGAGGGGGGGCGGAAATTTGCATGTGCGGCGCCGAGGGAGGCGGCGGTGGCGGAGGAGGAAACGCCTCTTCCGACGGAGGGATGTAATGAGGCATCATGACCTCGTGCTGCTGCGGCGGCGGCGGCGGGGGGGGGTGGCGGTGGTGATGCGGCGGTGGCTGGGGAGGAAGCGACAGCGGCGGGTAGTGGTGGTTCACGTCTTGGTGTTGCGGCGGTACCGGGCCGGCAGTCATGGGCATCAGCGGGGGTGGCTCCTGTTGGTGGAAGAAGTGGTGGTGGTTGTGCTGTTGTTGCCGCTGTTGCTGCTGCTGCTCGCGCTGCTGTTGCCGCTGCCAATGCTGTTGATGTTGCGGGGGCGGGCGAGGCATCTCCGAAGCCGGAGGCAGGGGCGCAGGCTCGGGCTTCATCCCCAGCGGGTGAGACGGAGAGTTGGTCCACGCCACGGGTTGCACCGCCGCCGAGAGCACCACACGCGACGGCAACTCCCCCTCAACGCCCTTTCCGTCCGTCTCAATCCCAGCCTCGCCACCTGCCGCTGCCGCTGCCGAAGCCTCGGGCTGACGGGATAGCTGCTCAGGCCGCGCCGCCTCCGACAGAGATGGACCCCTTAGGAAGGGCGACGAGGTGTTGACATCGGCGGGGGCACTGTTCGAAGCGCCGTCCGCTTGAAAGTGCCTCGGCTTCGCACCGACCGCTGGGGGGGGGGCGGTCGCCACCGCCGTCGCCGCGGTGCGCGAACTGGCCCACGGGGCGTACGGAGCGCGAGCGGGACGCGGGATTGCCTGGTCGAAATCCTTGCTGCGAGGAGCCCCCCCTGTTGTCTGCGACGACGGCGGCGGTCCACGCCTGTGCTGTTGCTGCTGCTGCTGCTGCTGCTGCTGCTGGCGCACGGTGCCCGCACGGCTCTGAGCCAGCGCTCCCCTACCCGACGTGGACTTGTGGCCTCCATGCGGCGTTGCGAAAGCCCTTGACGTTCCCTGCTGGGCCGTGGCGCGGCTTCCCTGCCGCCCGGCCGCCATCCTCCCTGCGCCCCTGCTCTCCGTGGAACTGCGGTGGTGGCTCATTTTGTCCTTGCTGCACCCTTCGCCCGAGTCCGAGCTCGACGCCGACGTCGTTGTCGCTGGGTCTGACCCAGGCGAGGAATTCCGCGCCGCCGCCGCGGACGCCTGCGTCGCGGCGCGGACATTGCGGATCGAGAGTAACCTGCCGCGCCCTCCGCCGGCACCGCCGTTGGTTGCCCGGCCGCGAGAGCTGCTGCCTCCGACCTCGGACCATCCCGCGCCGCCCTCCGAGTCTTCGGCTTCTTCCGTGGCTGTTGTATGCTGCGGCGTGGCGGAAGCGGTGGCGGCGGCGGTGGCTGCCGCGGCTGCGTCAGCCTTGCTGTGGAGCTTCTCCGACAGGCGTGCCTGCTCCCAGGCTCGCTCGTCCTCCTCCACCATCGCCTGCACTTGTTCGGCTGTCATCACGTCCGGGAACGGCACGCCCACCGTCTTCTCGGACACTGCTTGCACGGCAGCAGCAGCAGCAGCAGCAGCAGCAGCAGCAGCAGCAGCAGCAGCCACCGCCGGAACGGGTCCGACGGCACCGGACAGCTCCCATACAGACACAGCAGCCGTGTTGCTCGCAGCGCCCACACGGGTTGTCGACGTGCTGGTTGACTTCGGCACGACTGCCACCGCTGCCGCCTCTGTAGCAGTCGATTCTTGGGGTTGCGCTTGAGTCGGGGGTGCGACGGCAGAAGAACCAGCGGCAACATGTTTCCGCTGCGAGGAGGATTGGGCCGCGGCGGGGGGTGAAGCCGGAGGGGTAACCACCGCTGTGTCTCCGCGAACTAGCAGGCGGACGGGGGCGGGGGGGGCGGCGGCTGGAGCGGCCTTCTTGGCGTTTTTCTTGGAGCGCTGGGTGTTCTTCTTCAACGACGTTGTCGGGGCCTTACCGCCACCGCCGCCGATCGCCCTTCTAGACTTGGCGGAATCCCTGGCAGCTCTGAATCTCTGGAACATCGACGCCCAAGCGGAGAAGAGCAGCATCCGCGCGAGGCCAGCAGTGTGGGTCGCGTGCGACGAGACCATCAGACTAGATCTGACAAGCAAGAGAGGGGTGTGACAACGAAAGCAGGGTTGGGAGGGGTCACTCATTGGAACATTTTCAATGCATCCTCGCTCGTTATTCGCGAGCCTCCGCCAATACAAGCCAATACAAGAGGGCCAGCACATTAGTCCGCACCCCGTGCGTTCTCCGCCAATACAAGCCGGGACACGCTGATCGAAGACCGCAGCGACTGTTGCCATGCCCAGACTCGGAGGTTGAAAGAAGAGCAGCGAGCACCGCCAACTAGCTGCTCCGGCGAACATACAAACTCGACAGCGCAAACTGGTGTGCAAGTGCACGCTCGATCCTATCCTCGCCCGCAGCACATGCTGCAACCAACCTCTGCTTCTCCGGCAGAGCCACGCGAGCGGTCAAAGCACACACACACCCGACCAGCCCGCTACAAACACACACAGGATTTAGGGCCCCTCCAGGGACCTTAGTCTTACCCGCTGGTTTCAGGCGTGTTTTTCATTGGTCAGCCGGGTAGCGCTGTCGATGCTAACTACAAAAAAAAAACTACAACACATTTTGTGCGTTCAGCCGCACTCGAGACTGGCGTATTTTCATTGGCTATGCATCTAGCGCGATCGATGCTGATCAACAAGACAACAAAACACACACACACCTCTTGAGGTTACCCCACAGGTGCAGCAGGAGGGCGGCGGCCGCGGTCCGCTGCGGCGGCTCCACGTACGAGCCCACGGTCTTGGCCGCCCGCGTCGCCGTGCGCTGCCGCACCACCTCCCGGCGTCGTCCGCCCTGCCCCCCGCCGCGGCCCCCGGACGACACCGCCGCGACGAAGAGCGCAATACCGGCGCCGATGAAGAGGGTCAAGACGCCGTCGTCGCCTTCGCCATTTGACGAGTCGGAGCCGGACCCGTGCTTGCCGCGGGCTGCGCTACCGTTGCGAGGAGCCTTGGAGCTCGCGGACGCCTTCCGACCCCTGTCAGGTGGAGGGGGACCGGGGGTATGATGTTAACCACCTTCCCTCTGCGATGCTTGTCTTCGACTTAAAACGCGAGAGGGAGTCCCTTGACACTTACTCGTTCAAAAGGTGTCAGGAGATCTACAGCTGGGCGGAATGCGTGATAATCAGCCGTTCTTACTAGTCTAGTCGTGCCGGGTACGGGAAAGGCAAGCGGATCGCAGCATCGGAGCGGTACCCCGCGCAAGTCACCTGGCGCATGGACTAACGCGTGTTGTCCAGAATCCTCGCGGTTTGATACACATGCACGCATAGTACATTGCCGACGAACAATACTCAAATTGAACCAAGTGACTCGTGACATGACTTGCCTATCCTTGCGGCGCCAACGGGATCCCGAGCCCGAGCCCGCTTGGGACGAAGACCCGGAGCCTCCCCTGGTCGTCTGTGTCTGGTTCTCCGAAGCGTACTGACGAGCTTTCATCAGCAGGTATCGGAACCTATGGATCACCTGCCGACGCAAAGACAGCAAAAAAAACACCAGCAGAGGATGTGAAAGCGGACGCGGGAAAATAGTGTTTGATGAGACCTGGTCTGCCGAGATGCACACCAAAACTGCCTGCAGTACTTGCGCGGTATTGCTTTGATGCCCCCCCGCCCCCTCCGGTGTTTGCCATCGGGGGTGGGTTTTCGTCGCTTGGCAACGACGTTGTAAAACAAGCCAATTCACTTCGTGAACTCGGCAACCAGGTTACCGTTTTTTTTTTTACCTCTGTTTTTTTGCGGTAACCATAATGGTGGTCGAGTAGATCATGTTGTACGGGGTGAAGAACCCTCACTCCGCGCAAAGGGGATGATCGCACCACGTTGAGTTAAAATGGTCAAGCATCCTCGAGGCAGTTACACATGCTTATAACTGTCTCTGGAAGTGAAAGCACTAGAAAATAAATTAAGTCATACGCCAACCGTACGCAAGGAAGTAAGCACAAGATGCGGAACACCCTTAGCAGGATGCAGCGCACCCTTCATGCGACTCGCCGAATACCTCACGGCGCTTCGCGCTTCGTGATGTGAGAGCCTGGTTCGGTGAGAACCCGGCGTGCTTCGTCCCGGCTTTGTAGGGATGCGAGGTCAATGGTCTAACGACTACGGCATGCACGACTATGAGTACACCCCGCCCGCCCCCCGCCCCCCCTTCACACCCCCTGTTGGCGACCGGCGGCTGCTGTGCAACGAACAACAGATGACATGGGTCTATCTTGTTCATCGTGCAACACACCAAGGGACATTGTCAAGGTGTTTTCTTCCACATCAAGCTCATCAAGTACGCAGATAGTACGCAAACGAAAAGGAGGACCCATATGAAGACCTGGGATCCATCACGGAATACACGCCAATTTACCCGGAAAACCAACCCCATAAAGGAAAAGTTGCGGCGTGATATTAGTGTGGGGCTACTCCCGACACTGCTGTGTGCAGGATAGCGGCTCCCTTTTTCAGTCCAATTTCCGTATCGTCTTCCTCCTGGCTAACGGCTCAAATATGACGGATCAACAACAACAAAAAACAAGGCACACCATAACTATTTCCACTCGTCGCAACCGCCACTACCGCTACTGACCTCGCGGCGGGACTGGAATCCCGACTTCACGGGCTGCGCAGGATGTCTCTCCATCCGGTGCAGCTCGTTGTCCACGTACGCCCATCCCTGTGCCGCCACTCCCTGACCAACGAGAAAGCAGACAGGCAGAACACCAGACGGATATGGAGCAAACGTGACAAACTGAAGCATGGGCATACACCCGGCGTTCACAACGCAGCCGAGCAGCCCGTGTGAAGAGGGAAATATTCGTTATCTCAACAGACAGACGTTTGGGAGCGAAGAGATCCCTACATACAGCGACCAAAGAGAGAGAAGAAATTTGTCTTGGGTAAATCTCATCTCGCCGATAAAGCTTCATTCTCCATCCCGACCCAACACATCCAAGTGCCACGCTGAAACATACTCAGCACTCAGCACACCTTGACGGCGGAAAGGTAGTGACTGGCCTCCCGCAGGATGTCCGCGTGACCGGCAGCACCGACGACCATGGCAGGAACATCGTCAACCCCGGCGGCGTCAGCGGCAGCCGCGTTCCCACCTCCGCTTGCAGCTTGTTCAGAACTTGCAACCGTTACCGCTAGCAAACCGGATCGAACCGCAGCCAGAATCTTCGGACACAGAAAAGGAGAGGTGGGGGGGCGGGGGGGCGGACGGGGCACGGTGCGTCGCGGCGACAGAGAGATAAAGATTTAGAGGAACGGTGGCGGAGTTAATCTACAAGCTTGGCCATCGTACGTACTGTTTAGGGGGCTTTGCCGATTGAGGGGGGGGGGGGGGGGTACAGTGCAACGGCACGCCAAATGAGTTCGTGGGAACCAGTCCACACTCGAGGACAATGCCAATGATGCATGATGTCCCGCCGCATCAGCACCAGAAGTTTACCACCAGCAACCTGATTGCATCGCTACGCCGAGGCTGCACTGCCACGTGTGCCCATAGCGAATGGAGGCGTTTGAACACAAAACGAAAGGCCACACTGGCTAGGGGCTAAAAAAAACACAGCACATCGACGCGTCGTAAACTAATTGCGACCAACACGCGAGAACAAGATAAAAAATCAACATCCATTGATGCGGCTGTCTGTTAGCGACGTGTCCGAAAAACGAGACCACATTCGGCTGATCGCGTTTCTCTCATCCACACGCCTAAGCACGGCTGTATTCTCGAATGATGAACGAGACATGCTTTCCCTCACGCACAAACACCGCTGTATTCTATAACGATGGATGAGGCTCGCGATTCCCCCACGACTCAACACTGCTGAACAACATCATGAACAGAGATTCAGCCGAGCGTTCGCCTCACGCCCAAAATACTGCTACAGTACCATATTCTAGGCATCATGAACAAGAGGCTCAGCCCCACTTACCTCCTCCGCAGCCACGACGCGAGAGTCCAGCCATTCCTGGGTCGCCGACGGCCTCGTGGCCGTGGTCATCACCAGCTCCCCGACGAGCTCGTTCATGCTGGCCCGCATGGCCTCGGCGTGGCGCTCCACCACCGCTCGCGCCGCCGCCTCCGCCCCGGTCTCGACCGCCGCCGCCGCCGCCGCCGCTGACTCCGCCGCAGCGGCCGCGGACGCCGCCGCCGCCGCCTTGTTGAGCCCCGCCACCCTGGCCGCGCCGGCACCGCGGGGAGGGGGGGCATCCGACCGGCCGCCTGATCCCTTAGAGGAGGACGGGGTAGCATTCGTTACGGAGTCTACAGCCGCCGCCGCCCCCTCGCCTTCGCCGGGCGGGGAAGTTTCAGGGTCCACGCCCCCGTCAGACACGCCTCCGTCGCCGCTACCGTCTGCCCGGGGTCCGCGATCGGCACCGCCACGGCCGTCGCCGAGGGGTGCGGACGGGACGCCGTTGTCTTCGGGAGGGGTTTCCGAAGAGGAGGAGGCGTTTTCGCCACCGGCCGCCGCCGCCGTTGTCCCCTGAGGGCTCGGCAGCCACGGCATCCTGGCCAGCAGGCTCGACGCTTCTTCGAAACGCTTCTGCGTCTTGTACATCTCGGCCAGGTTCGCGTAGCAGTGCAGCCAGCCTGCCGATTGAGTTAGGGAGGGCATATGGAAGGCATTATTTTAGGGGGACTGGGCGGGGGCGCGTCGGGTACCTGTAGCAGTGCAAGAGGGGGGGGGGGGTATGCAGCAACGCCCGCGACCTTGCGCGCACATCCTCAACCAAAAGGGGTCAATAAAAACAGGGAAAACAAACTGCCTCAGCGTGAGATATCCAAGAGATACACTATTTGCCGAGCTCATAACGCCAGGTCTTAAACGGAATGGCGCACCCCAAGTTCACACCCCGACCCCGCGTTGGAACAGCCCTCACTTCCGGGCGCGAAAGTTTTCTCGGGGTGTCGGGGTCGCAGAGCACACCAGAATCTTTAATTTTTTTATTTCAGAGAATATTTTATTTAAAAATTTGAAATCACGTTATTCCAAGAGGGGGGTACTGCTGTAGGGAGAGCACACACCATGCCGGGCGCATAGCTTGCCACGTGCCAAACATGCAGCCCAAGTTCACAAAACAGCGGCGGCATCCCTTCGCTTTTTCCGACAAAAACAGCAGAACATACTTCTACAAGACCGTGAAAATATTCGAGAAAAACGACACAATGGCGGAGGACATGGGGGGAGCGTGGTAACTAGAAAACTGATGTGCTCGCCACGTCACAAGCCTCAGATGCTGCATACTTCACACTCGCATATTTATTTATCACGTCACAAACAAAAGGAGTTTCTTCATTTTATTTTTATTTTTGCCTCAGATGCGGCATACTTCACACTCGCATATTTATCTACCACGTCACAAAAAAGAGGAGTTTATTTTTATTTTTATTTTTTTTTTTCTATATATGACCCAACGACCTCCATCTCCATCTAGGAAAAGAGTCTTAAAAGATAGATTAGCAATTTTGTGCTGAGAAAACACCGCAAAATTGTTTGTATCTCTTCCACAGATCAAAAGTCCGGGATAATGGAACAGATTTGCGATGAAATGATGGCGAGTTTTCCGAAGGCGTCACAAGGACAACATTGTTGTCTCACGGGGATTGTTGACAGCAAACGACAACAAAGGTACAAAACTGATGACCTTCATGTCCGTGCGTATGCATATGACGCAAATCAAAACCGTGGAGGTGTCAGCGGGGAACTGCAATATCCGAGTATCAAACCGTAACCAGTAGAACCGCAAACTTGGATTCTCTTGTCAAACTGTCAGTCGGATACTAGAGATATGGGTGGAATAATCATGCCGGGGTGATTGGTCATGTCGCCTGCCTCAAGCGTGCGAGGGACGAAGCCACGCTACCAGCGCAGAAGCAGTGCACGAGCATACATGAATACACGTGAACGTTTTGCAACACGTACGCGCAAGGCGTCAACGGAAGATGAACGAATGTGACTGTCAGAACGTTTTGAGTCAACCTACACACAGACGCTGTGACAATATCCTCATACAAGTGGGCACATCCACCGACGCAGAGCAGACACACAGCTGTTCCTCCCCCCGTCATGACGGACACCCCTCTCACTTTTGCTGTCGCGTCTGCCCTGGGCGTTCTGCTGGTACTCCAAGATCTCCGGGCACGCGAGCTCTAGCTCTTGGATCCCTCTGTCCGTGTTGCCGGAGCGGGCTAGCGCCTGTCCCAGCACCGCACGATTGTGAGCCAGCAGGCTTGCCGCCTCCTCGTAAATGCGAGAAGTCGTGTCTGAGGCCCCCGGTGCGCCCGTCGCACTCTCCCCCCCCCCCTGCTGCTGTTGCTGCTGCTGCTGCTGCTGCTGCTGCTGTTGCCCACTGCTGCTGCTACTGCCCGTCGCAGCCGTCGTGGATGGGCGATGTGTGGAAGACTTGACGGTTGCCGCTGAACCGCTTCCGCTGATGCTGTTGCGCCGCGGAGGCTCGTCGTTGTCTCGCTCCGTCCAGAGCTTCACCGCGGGCTCGAGACTCTCCCACTGCTTGGCGTTCTCCTGAAGGACGGGGAACAAAGTGCCGGCACAAGCGGGCGAGAGAGAGAGAGAGAGGACGCGTGGTCAGATGCTGTTGGTTCCTTCTTGGGGGGGGGGGTTCTGTGCCACATGGACACGAGCAGCGACGAGCCTGTGTGGCCCACCACGTGTCCGTCCGTTACGGGCACTGCCGAAAGAGAGCGAGACGACAAGCACACATGTGCACTACTCAGCAAGCTCGGCATCCAGACCGCACGCGAACACGGCCTGCCCTGCACGAGCAGTCGCTGGAAGCACGCTGCGGTGATGTGCAGCGACGCTCACCCGCACACCGACGTGGTCTGCGCATGCGTGCATGTTTCATGCTAGACCAGGATGAGACATCATGTGGACCGCAGGGGCAACAAAAGGCAAAAATTGTGGGCCAAGCACCCGTATAAACACCAGTACGAAATCAAAATCCCAACGACATCACCAGGGTTATTTCATGTTGCAGCACCGGCAGCAGAAAGAAACGCACACACACATGTACCTGTAGCAACTCCAGCGCGGTGTCGAGGTCCTCAGCGGTAGGCTCGGAGGCAGAGACGAGCGTCCAGGCACGCTCGTAGCGGCCCCGCACCACCTCCACAGCGCGCAGTAGCCCCACGCCCAGGTGCCCACGTTCCTCGCTGATCGACGAGAGCTTGAGAGCGTCGAGTGTTGGGATGTGAGGCGCACCCATCAGCAGCACCAGCACAGCTCTCATGGCGATCGACACCGCCGTTGTTCTCCGAGCACGCTTGCAACCAGCACGACGCTCCAGCCCGGGCTCGCCCATGACGGCTGACTCTCTGCCGCCGCTGGCCCTGTTGTGTGTCGAGGGCTTTGTCTCCGCAATTGCGAAGCTACGGCTCTGCTGCTGCTGCTGTGTCGATGACTCACTTGAGAGCTGCCACGCACACTCCTCTTTTTTCCGTAGCGTACCACCCCTTGCCGTGGCCGTCTCGCTGCTTTGCAGCAGCCCTCTTGCTGGCAGGGTGTTCCCTGAGTGTACGCTTGTTGCTCGAGCCCCGCCCGTCTGTTCCTCTGCCAATGCCTTTTGGGTGTGTCGGCAGCAGTCTCGTGGTTTTGGGTCTGACTAGAAGTGGGGTTGAAGTTTCATCGTCGGCTCGTTTGAGTTTGATGGCGCTTTTACAAAGGCTGACGACGCCAAGATCCATGCGGGGTGTTGTTCCAGAATTATTATTTACCCGCCCGTTCGTCGTTGCCGGTGTCATTTCCACAGCAGTTTTGTCGAGAGGAAGCTCTAGTAGCCTAGGCGACCGAAGCTATTTTACTTTTCCAATCCTATGGCCCCACAACGTCTCATTAGCGTTTGCCTTTAATTCAGGGATGAGCAGCAGCAAGCGGTGGCAGGAAGCAAAGAAGAGCGGAACGCAAATAAAAATGCCGTTTTGCGTGCATGCATACCGCGGAACAGCAAGGGGGTCGCATAAGATTCACCACACCCCATGGACTGATGTCGACTACTGTACACTATGCAGCAAAGACAGTTACTGCGCCGAAAAATGGCGGCGACGGACCGTCTCTTCTAGAAGCGTGCGGAAAATATATTGCATTTGAGTTTGGCATCTCCTCTTCGTCGTAGTGCAGAAATCGAGCAATCGAGCTCTCTTTGCAAATAAAAATGTCCCAGGGGGGGTGGTATCTTCCGCGACCTGCAGTAGGTATGTACTCTGGACATGGATGGATGGATGTGGAGGTCAGTTTTGGGCGGGCATGTAGTCGAAGGCATGAGGAACCCCTCTGTGAAATCACACCCTTCCCAACAGCCGAGGGAGAGAGAAGGACACACGCCACCGGAGAGAAATCTGGGGTGGAGAACGCAAGAAGATAGGATGAGAGGTGAAACCCTTTTCAATACAAAAACATGAGAAGGGTTCATGTAGCAACGATCTCGATCTCATCGACAGACGAAGCCTTCTATGCATACGATGTAGAGATCAACAGTAGTAGTAGCAGTAGCAGTGGTAGCGATTATACTCTGTGTACATAGTTGAAAAATTACCCTCCACAGTTTGCAGTAATCTCGGATTTGAGACGAATCCGGATTTCGGAACGAAATCGGGAAGAGTCAGATATCCCATGAAGCATGTTGGAAAATGACTCTACCTTGTTCAGTCCCCTTTCTCTCTCCCGAAATACGCCGGAGCTATCGAGGAGACAGGAAATACTTGAGAAAGTAACAGGCCGCCTCGCAACACGCGGCGTTCCGCCGCGGCGGCTTCGGCGACTGCTTGGCGGTGGCTCTCTCGGCCCCACAGCGACTGCGCGCTCAGGGCGAGGCCCTCCTGTCGGTGCAGGAGGCCTCACCCAACCCAATCCAATACTTACATTGAATGATCTAGGTAAGGGACAAGAATACAACAGTATTCCAAAAACAACCACACCCTCTCGATCCTACTACAGTATATATAATATAGAGACACACACGTGTTGCTTCTGGGAGGAATACTGCTCAAACAAGTGTATGTATGAACGTGTCGCGTGTCCCACCTGCAAAAAAGGGCCGGCCTACCCACTCATAGGTGATAAACAAATTAAACGTGGAGCCGTTGGCCTTGCCTAGGAACCCCGGGAAAGCCGCAGGTACGAAGAAAGGATTACGTTGTACAGAGAAAAAGTGAATGAAGTTCAAGAGAAACCTCGTTTGGACCTGAGGGGAGGTACCACCATTGTTTGTGCGAAAGTCTGACGTATCACAATCAGGATACGTATCACAACTAGGATTGCGTATCGCCCTGCCCGCCAGTCTAACTACGACAGTAGTCACTACGGTCTGGAAACCCAAGGTCAGTATCGATGTGGTCCAGCTTCACAACGGGGTGGTGAGGCAATAAAACAAAACGAGACCATCGCTATCATGTTTAGGGGCCATCAACAAGACGACGGCGTGGATCACAAACGACCCGTTGTATAAGGCGCACTTTAACCTTTGTCGTGGCGGAGGCGAGACTATACTTCACCAAGCCCCTGAAGTCGCTGTCGTCGTAGTATCCGTGCGGGATCCCCGGATCGGGATCCGTGGCCTGGAACATGCTGTAAGGGAGGTAGTCTTCTAAGGGTTAGGTTCGTGCCAAACCGATGAACATACCCGGCTTAATATGCATGTTACCTCATGATACATGTTCAATAGCCCTCATGTCTTGTTCGCAGACAGCGGTATGGCCTGCATCGTCGTATTTGAAGGAGTCATGACCTTTTCGTCGTTGGAGGGAAGGGCTTGAGAACGGGGACTCTCATTCTTGGAGATTTTTTCATTGCAACAATCAACAACTGTTATATTTCTTCAGACGAAAGTCATCGTAATCCAAACCGTTGGATCCAATTTAGTGGAGGTAGACGTGTAAGCGATGACCCAAAACATCCGTAAAATAACAAGTCTTTGTCGTGGCAATGGTGCCAACAACAACAAGTCAGAAGTGGTCGAGTGAGTCGGATTGCTCGAGACACAGATTGTCTTCATGCAGACTCCGGCCGGCTGCCTAGCCTGCGAATGGAACGGCTTGGTTCTTCAAACTTCAAACGGAGTTGTCGAGAGGAAGAAAAGGTGCACGTTCGTTGTTTTATATGGGATGAAGGAACACAAAATGGTTTTGTGCTCTTGTTGTATTTGGCGGAAAGACAATCGATTTGGGCCGGACCGCGGAAACAATCTGGGTAAGTGGAAGGCTTCAAGTTTAGGCAGAAAGATGATGCCTCAGAGTGGGAACTTTCACACCGAGGGCCGGGCGAGAGGGAGGGAGAGACGTCGTACAAGCGAGCGGCGTCGCTAATGCAAAACCACAACAAGCAAATGACAGTGGCTCAACAGCTTGATTTCAACCGCGGGTACAATTTTGGGGGGGGGGGGGGGGTTTACTCCTAATCCTGCATTCCCTAATCCTTAAACCATTTACCTCCCATCCCTACCAAACCCGGAACGAACACCCCCGGTTTTCACCCGAACAAGCTTTCACATCACCAAACCCCAAACCCCCTGAAGTATTTTGCCAATCCCAAAAAAGGTGAACTTCCTCCCTCTAAAGGTTTTCCGCATATTTTTCTTACTTCCTTTCCTACCGATAAAAACCACCTAATAATTAATTTTTTTTCTTGTGCTTTTCCTTCCCAAAAAAATTTTAAACCCTTTGAAACTTCCTTTAAAAAACTTTACCATTTTAACACAACCTTTTTCGAACCTCCCCCCTTTCCCAAAATGAAGGTTTTCCACCCCCCCCAACATTATCTACTCCACCAACATTATTGTTACCCCCCAAAAAAAAACCCAAGTAAAAAAAAAAACCGTAACC